TTGATATTGTAGTATGTGGATTTGCTTGCCATGTTTCATGTCAAGACAAGGTACCTGCTGTTTGCCCAGTTCCAGCAGATCAGAGTAAGTGATTTAACAAATTAGATTTAATTTTAAAAATGGAGTTTAATTAAATAAAACTTTTATATTATAGCTAAAAGACCTGTTGGAATTGATCCAACAAGGGGTATTGGTACTGCATATGAAGGTTATGTGAAGGTAATTTTAATTTTACAATTATAAATTCTGTGTTTAAAAAATTTTTTTTTATAATTTATAGTATTTTCAATATCAATATCAATATATTGGATAATTTTTTTAGATTTGTCATGATCAATTAAATATTAAGAAATATGAAGTAGATAGATATTTGCCATTGATTAAATTTCAGATCTGTTATGAATAAAAAAATTAAAATGCATATGTTATCTTCTGTATCTAATATTTTATACTTTGATTGAGAGACTACAGTTGGTAGAATTTACTAAATTACTATCATCTAATTAATATTTTTTTAGTAAGGTCATCTGTTTGATGCTAGTGTTTATTTTTTGCTGTTATATAGTGAATATCAGTTTTTAAAATTCATAACTTGTTTGATATTTTGGAATTCAAAATTAAAATTTTATTCTTTATAGATGAATAACTACATTTATTTAAAATTAATATTAACAAAAGAAAGAATGATAATAGAATGTGTAAATAAATGAAAATTATTATAATATGAAATTACTGTAATAAAGTAAACATATTTTAAAAGTCTATTAAAAATTTTTTTTTAATATCTTGTGAATACCATCATAATAATATATCAGACCAATTATAATTGTCTTAATCATCAGAATAATATGTTTTTTATGTTCTGGGATTACTTTTTTATTCTAGAATGAAAACTATTTTTTTTTTCTATGTTTAATTAATGTGCAGTGGCACATTGAGGGTTTTGAGAGTTCCTCTCAAACAAACATTTCATTAAATCCAACAGTTATAAATATTCATGCTCAGTGAGATTTTTAACCTATGACTTGATGACTAGAAACAATGCCTTAACATAGTAAGCTGCTAGATTGGCTAAATTTTTATTGGCAAAATACAAGTATATTAATATGTATATTAAAATATACATATATACAATAGTTGGAAAAATGAAAGAAAATAAATATAATTTGGTATAAAAACTGTGAAGTTTGCTAAAAAGATATAGTTCTTCATGAAAAAACTTAGATTTTTTGTTAAATTAATACTCTAAAATTTGATTGAGAAATAATGATATAAAGAATATTTAATAGTGTAATGTTCTTGAAAAATTATATTTACAAAATTGAGTTTACATATTTTTAAAATTATACACTAGTGTGGAAAACTTAAGCAACAATGTAATTTTTAAGCAGACAGCCATGAAATTGTAGAAAAGGGCTTGTTATGATCAATACAATGAACACCCAACTCAATAGAATGGTGATTCATATTCAGGAAGAAGACATCACAGGTGACATGAGGGCACGTAGAATATGTGCAGTAAGTGTGTGCAGTGCAAGACTACATAAGGAGGCTTTGATTCCATACTGTATGCATTCTATTCATTTTTGAGCTAGTATGCTTTCTTCATCCTTTAAGTACAATATACTTCTCTGTATTCTGAATTTCATGTCTCCCAGGTGATTTCTTGTGCAGTTATAGCAAAAAACAATTGTTGCTTAAGTTTTGCACACCAGTATATATAAAATGTTTAAATTTTTTATTTAATTTATTACATAATCCTATTATTATGTGATTTTTATTATTTTTTAGACTAATCAAGAATTACCTTTCTTGATCAATTGTATAATAATTTATTTTATATGTTATAGGTGCCAAAACCTGGTGGTGTTAAGAAAGGATGGATGCGCCAGTTTGTTGTAGTTTGTGATTTTAAATTATTCTTATATGACTTGGCCCAGGACAAAAATGCTCAACCTTATGTTTCAGTTTCTCAGGTTTTAGACATGAGGTAAATTTTCATTTTAATTTGTATATTTAAAATTAACATATGTTTTATAATAAGTTATAATTAATTAATTTAGAGATGAAGATTTTTCTGTTAGTTCTGTATTAGAATCAGATGTCATTCATGCTAACAAAAAAGATATACCATGCATTTTCAGGGTAAGCTTTTCTAAATTTTATAAGTATACTTATAATAATTTTCTTTTATAATTTTAAATGTTTTCATGGAAAAGTTTAGTTTTTAAATATTTCTTTTACTAATGATTGATGTAATTAAAATAATTCATAATTCAGTAATTGAAACTGAAAATTTGAAATTCAATTAACATCTATAACAAAGAAGTGTAAACAAATTTATCACTTCAAACTCTCAAAAAGAAACCTTGCACCAGCATAACTTTATTATAATGAATGTTTTTGACTGCTTATATCTTTTATTATTAGTTATAAATTCAAATACAAAAAGGGTTTTACCTTCTAGAACATATATTTTGAATATAGCAAATAAACAATTCAAAATATATGTTCTAGAATGTAAAATTTTATTTATATTTGAATTTAGACTTGATGATAATTGATAAAAGCAATCAAAAACATTCAGCATAAGTAAGTTATGCTTGTATAAGGTTTTGATTTTTAATAGCAATCATAGCCCATAAAATTGGAAAAAGCTAAGTTTGTTGAAGACAACAGATGTCGAGGAACTGATTGAATTGTACTTGGAAGATGGGTTGGAAGATTTGGAAAAAAATTGATGAATGTGAATATTAATCCAGAAGAGACTAAAGAATTTCTGCCATTCCTTTAGTATTGAATATCAGAATTTTATTTGAAGATATGAAGCTTTCAGAAGATTTATTGATAAATCAATAGCTTGTGAATGAAGATCTCTCTGTGGAAAGAAGTAAATTTTAGAGAGGAATTAAAATTGTGACTTCAAAAAAAAAAAAAAGAGATAAAAATTAGTTTTTAAGAATAAATAAATATACAGGGTGGTTATACAGTAGAGCATCGATTATCCGACCCCCGATTAACCGTCATGTTGGTTAACCAACCATTCTAGTCGGCAAATTTCAAATGTCCACTAGTGATATGGCATTACAATATTTGGATATGTCTTGGCTACTTTAATATTATTTTTGTTAAATTTTTGCGTGTTTTAACTGGCAACAACNTTAAGAAAGGATGGATGCGCCAGTTTGTTGTAGTTTGTGATTTTAAATTATTCTTATATGACTTGGCCCAGGACAAAAATGCTCAACCTTATGTTTCAGTTTCTCAGGTTTTAGACATGAGGTAAATTTTCATTTTAATTTGTATATTTAAAATTAACATATGTTTTATAATAAGTTATAATTAATTAATTTAGAGATGAAGACTTTTCTGTTAGTTCTGTATTAGAATCAGATGTCATTCATGCTAACAAAAAAGATATACCATGCATTTTCAGGGTAAGCTTTTCTAAATTTTATAAGTATACTTATAATAATTTTCTTTTATAATTTTAAATGTTTTCATGGAAAAGTTTAGTTTTTAAATATTTCTTTTACTAATGATTGATGTAATTAAAATAATTCATAATTCAGTAATTGAAACTGAAAATTTGAAATTCAATTAACATCTATAACAAAGAAGTGTAAACAAATTTATCACTTCAAACTCTCAAAAAGAAACCTTGCACCAGCATAACTTTATTATAATGAATGTTTTTGACTGCTTATATCTTTTATTATTAGTTATAAATTCAAATACAAAAAGGGTTTTACCTTCTAGAACATATATTTTGAATATAGCAAATAAACAATTCAAAATATATGTTCTAGAATGTAAAATTTTATTTATATTTGAATTTAGACTTGATGATAATTGATAAAAGCAATCAAAAACATTCAGCATAAGTAAGTTATGCTTGTATAAGGTTTTGATTTTTAATAGCAATCATAGCCCATAAAATTGGAAAAAGCTAAGTTTGTTGAAGACAACAGATGTCGAGGAACTGATTGAATTGTACTTGGAAGATGGGTTGGAAGATTTGGAAAAAAATTGATGAATGTGAATATTAATCCAGAAGAGACTAAAGAATTTCTGCCATTCCTTTAGTATTGAATATCAGAATTTTATTTGAAGATATGAAGCTTTCAGAAGATTTATTGATAAATCAATAGCTTGTGAATGAAGATCTCTCTGTGGAAAGAAGTAAATTTTAGAGAGGAATTAAAATTGTGACTTCAAAAAAAAAAAAAAGAGATAAAAATTAGTTTTTAAGAATAAATAAATATACAGGGTGGTTATACAGTAGAGCATCGATTATCCGACCCCCGATTAACCGTCATGTTGGTTAACCAACCATTCTAGTCGGCAAATTTCNTAATAAACTAATTACATGGGATATATTAATATCCTAATATACTATACTAATAATATATTTTTTCCCTTCATTTTGGTTATCCAATTTTTTCAGTTATCCAACCAACCTGAGTCCCCAATTGAGTCAGATAATCTATGCTCTACTGTAATTAAAGTTGCCCTACTCAGACCTGTATAGAGTCTGTTCTCATTGACATATTTTGATGAAACTTGGTATATGAGTTATATGGACCATGGGGAAAAGGAAAATGCAAAAAAAATAATTAGTTTAAATTTCTACCACTAGGTAAAAAAATGGCGAATGAAGAACAAGAAACACAAAATGGAAACACACAAAAAGTTTTTATTCACATTTGTTCAATGTGCAATCCATTTGCATCAATCACATGTTCAAAGCACCTTACAGCATTTTCAACAGTAGCCCGATAGGTTTCTTGAGAAATTGCGGCAATATGGCATGTTATGCTTGCTTTCAATTCAGGCAGAGTTCATATGGTTGTGGGGATATCTGAAATAATGTGTGTATAGAGGAGGCATATGAACTTTGCTTGAATTAAAAGCAAGCATAACACGCCATATAGCTGCAATTTTTGAAGAAACCTATTGGGCTACTGTTGAACACACTGTAAAGCACTTTGAACATGTGATTGACACAAATGGATTGCATATTGAACAAATGTCATGAATAAAAACCTTTTGCATGTTTCCATTTTGTGTTTCTTGTTCTTCATGCGCCATTTTTTCACCTAGTGGTAGAAATTTAAACTAATTATTTTTTTTGCATTTTCCTTTTCCCCATGGTCCATATAACATATATACCAAGTTTTATCAAAATACATCAACAAGAACGGACTCATACAGGTCTGAGTACGGCAACTTTAATTATAACCACCTTGTATGCAAAAATATATAATTATTTTTAACTTTTAGTTTGAAATAAAATAAATGAAAAATTTTTTGAATGAAAATAAGTTTTATTTTATACCTGTACTAAAAACACTTTTGTATTTTGAAATACATTTGAATGCCAGTTCACCTGAAGATGGCCTATTTCATTAGGCTGAAAACGTTTGTGTTTCAATAAATATATCTCAGCATATAAGATGTTAAGTGTTTTTAGTAAAGGTTTAAAAGAAGTTGAGTTGAGTTTCAATTTATTTTATTTTATATTTTTTCAATTTCTCTAACCTTAATTTTTCCAATATATTTCTCATTTTGTTATCATGATTTTCATCTTTGCAGCAGTTTTAAAAGATGAATATGGAGTTTCTCCATTTTAATTAATTAAAATGTTATTTATAGATAGATCAAAATGATGTAGGTCTTTGGTTTTGTTTTCATAAACCAATAAATATGAAAGAGATATTTGCTTATTTTATTATTTTAGGAATTTGATTATACTGGCTCTCAGTTAATTTAGATTCATTTAAGAATCAATGTTAAACTTCAGATAATGCTTGAATTTATTTGTTTCTACATTGGTGCAACAGTTTTTTTTATTTATTTATTTTTTTTGTGTTTAATACTAAATTTTAGATTTTGATTTGTATTGAGAAATAATAATAAATTATTGTGTAAATATAGACTACATTTTACATATATTTATTAATATAAAATATTATATTAATCACTTCAAGATTATTATTATTAAATGTTATTTATTAAATCATTTATTGGTAAGACTTTAAGGAAAAACATTAATTAAAATGAATAAAGTTAATGAAAAATTTTTTTATAGGTTACTACATCTATGATGAATCCTCCTGATGTAAGAAACCATATGTTAATGTTAGTGGATCGAGAAAGTGAAAAGACAAAATGGGTAGATGCTCTTAGTGAACTGCATCGGATTTTACGTAGGAATAAATTACCTACAAGAATGGTATTTATTATTATTTATGTTTTAAGAAACAGTTTATTTAAAATAAAAACAAGTTTTAAAAATTTGTCTTAAAATATTTATAAAGCAGTTTCCTGTTTTCTACAGGGTGGGCCATTGAAAACGAAATGGCAGAGTTATCGCGTTCGTCCAAGCAAATCGCTCGGACAGATCGATTTTATTCTCAAGGGGGACATCTTCTGCAATAAAGTTTTTGCGATTTTGAATACAGCAGACAACAAAAAATTTTAAAAACTCATTCATTTTTTTATTAACTAAACAAACACTTATTTCAGAAAAAAGTAACACAAACTATTAACAAACATAAAAAAAACTTTTTAAGCTGGACCGCATATGCACGGAAAAAAAATATTTCCCCTTGAGAATAAAATCGACCTGTCCGAACACAATAACTCTACCGTTTCGTTTTCAATGGCCCACCCTGTAGCACATTTTATTTATTAAATTATTTGTTGATAAAATATTATGAAAATAATTGTTTGAACCTATTCTCAATGAGAAGAAATAATTTATTTTTCCTCATTGAGAATAGTTTTAAACAATTATTTTCATAATATTTTAACATAAAAATGTTTATTATTTGACTCTCTGTATCATGATAACTTTAGTAAAAATTTAAAGATTTATTTCTGAAGCCTTTATTTATTCAGTATTCAAATGTTATTTAGAATTATATTGTCAATCTTCAGAGAATATTTTGTAAAACATACAAATAATATATTAAAAATCTTAAGAGTTAATTTAATTCTTTGAAACAGGTCTGAAATTACTAACAATGTTAGCAATGCCATTTTTATGTTGTAATAGTCTTCTTAACTTCCAATATTTCAAACAGTCAACATTTTCCAGACATTTAAATTCAAATTTTATTATTTTCAAAATAATCTATTTTGTAATAAAACATGTAGAAATAAACAAAGATACCACTACACTTTAATTAGACAATAATATGGCTATTTAATTATAAAAGTATTACATGATTTGGATTAAAAATAGGTGATTAGATGTCCATTTTATGTTAAAGTTAATAATTTAGAATATTCTGGTAGACAACATTGATTAGGAGTTGGACTCAAACCTGCAATTCCCAGTTTCCATGTAGATATGTTACATTGAATTATTTTTCTGTTTACAGCCAATTTCACTTTACATCAATCTCTACTTCTAGAATTTTCTAAGTTAATTAATTACAAATTGTTAAATTTAACACAAGTTTGTAGCTTAACAGCTTATCTTTAGTACAAATTAAATAATATACTTCATTAAAATTTAGTAGTATCATTTATTTATTACTGTAAGTCAGACATTGTTCATATGTAATTAACACATTTAGAGCTTTATAAAAAATATTTTTCAGATTAACAATTAACATACATTGTTTCAATACATAAAATTGAAAAATTTTAAACTACAAAAGAATTAAAGTATATGAGTTCATAAATACTGTTATTAGAGATGAACAAATATTCTTCATAAAAGCAAAATATTTTTATTAAAGTATATTTGAAAGAAAAAAAATATACAATTTGACATTTAAAATGAAGTTGGATTATTGTTACTCTAAAATTTTTTACATAGCATTTTTTTTTCTTCTTCTTATTATATATTGATTGGTTAAATTTTCTTTGTCAATTATATATAAATAAAATAATAAATAGGTTTATAATTAGCTTTACTAATAGCTCCAATAACTGTTATATTAAATATTTTAAGTTATTGCCTAGACTAAACAGTCTTTGTTACTTTTATTAGTAAGAGAGATATTTTGATAAACATTGAAAGTTTTTCATATATTTTACCATTGGAATTCTGGAAAAATAATTTAGTTTATAAAATTCAAGCTAGTTTGATTTAACATGTTGATGTAAATGTTTAAATAATTTTTTTTTCCTTTTAAGTTTAAAAATATCTTTTCAGAATTTTTAAGATTTAAAAAATTATAGAAGTTTTTTTAAATATCTATTACAAATTATTTGTTTTTGTTATAATTTATTTTAGGTCTACCAAGCTAAAGAATTATTGGACAATACTATAACCATTATTAAAAATGCATTATCAGCAGCTGTTATTGGTATGTTATGCAAAATTTGAGTTTATTTTTTTGATAAAATTTATTATTATACTTATATTTTTTGATGCATGAGTTTTAGATGAATGTTTAATAGATTAATAATTTAATAATAAAATATCATTAGCTTTAATGATTAAATAATTTTTGAACTAATCAATACTACTTGCTATTTAATTTTCACTATTTTACTTCTACATCGTTAGCTCTAATACAAATGAACACTACAGTAGAGCGTCGTTTATCTGAAAGCCAATAAACCGAAATGTTGGTTAACCAAAAGCGTTCCAGTCGGACTGTGTTGTGCTGAATATAACGTTTTTGATACTAGATTAACCTCCAAAATATAATTTTTTTGTTTTTTATATTTTTCAATATATTTATTTTGTTTGTACAAAATAAAGAAATAATTTTTAATGATACAATAGCCACGATTATTATTTTAAAAAATTTACGTTAGGCTTAACATTGACGAAAATTCAACGTGAAGCAACATGCAACGGAGAAAAATTTCAGCATGGGATAGGTTAATATATTTTTTCATACATAATCAGTTATCTGAACAACCCCAGTCCTCAATTGATTCAGATAAATGACGCTCAACTGTATTTTCCATTTTTAAGCTTATATTCTTATTTTCATTTGTTTTATCAAACATTTTCATACATTTCTGATTTAAAAAATAATAATATATACAGATATTCTCATTAAATGCAAGGAATGTGTTCTATTGAGAAGTGCATTAAATGAATTTTCATATTAAATGAGGACTACTCTATTTTCATACTGTGAGAACAGAAGGATCCAGTCTATTCTCTTTTCATATACAGGATGGTAAATAGTTAAGAAGAAAATTCGTAAAAATCTTATTGTCAGTCCTGACACCAGTTAGGATAAACTAAACTAGTCATGTTCTAACTCGCAATTAAATTAATTTCTTCCGAGTGGCTGAAGATATAATAAAACTTGACTGGAATTTTAGGAGGATTCGTCTTTATACTTTAATAGCATTTGTTGCATGAATTATGTGAATAACATGAATTGGTTAAGTGAAAATTATGTGATTCGTGTGATATACATAGGCCGATGATGGAGTTAGACATTAAATCAAATGACAAATACAATACATTAGGAATCTATCTATCTATTTATTTAAACATAACTATAACTATCCTTCATACATAAAGGAATACATTAAATAAAAATAAGAACAAAATAAGTTGTATTGATATGAATACAAATGAGAGGACTTCTAATCTATCCCTTAAACTAGACTGGAGAGAGAGTTTACATAACAATAATATCATATTACTTGAAATCCACATATGTATAGGGAGGAGAGTCAATAATCCATGGGAATGGGAACATACAGATGTTGGAAAACTGGGAGAGGGATGACTAAAACATTGAGTGTTCGGCAAAGGCACCAAAACAGGAGCAGTGGCTAATGCCTTGATCACCGAATAAAAGAGTGTCAAAACGAGAGCAAGTTGGAAAGTGACCTCTCACTTTTTATACTGTATTTCATCCAATAGAATTAATGGAAAATCATGCCACACTTTTGATGCATGATGGAAGTTGGGCAGTCTTGTGGATAGATGAGTGAGACATTGCACCCAAACTATCAGTTTTGGAGGAATAAACTGTCTTTCTCCATGAGTCAAAAGGAAGTGCTTCCATTAACTTAGATAATTTTTCTATCAAAATAATTGTAATAAAATATTATTTCAACAAATTTGCTAAAATATCTCTCCCAACTCCAGATTCTCACAATACTATTTGCTTGTTATTTTGTAAATTTTGTTAATTTCTATTTGTTATACTAAATAGTGATATTATACTTCAAAAAATAATGGAAAGAATTTTTCATTAAATATTTTTAATGATTCATAACAATCATACAATAAATAAATTATTATAGTACAGTCGACCCCCCTATAACACTGTTGATTTTTCCGTTTTATACGAATTCCATGTTGTACGAGTTACTTAGATTTTACAAATACGTGAGCCATTCACAGCCTGGTACACGTATTTGTAAAATATAAGTGACTCGTACAACATGAAATTCATATAAAACGGAAAAATCAACAGTGTTATAGGGGGGTCGACTGTAATATCATTAGAAAAGTGCTTTGTCTGTTTTCACTTTATCCATAAAATTTACTTGTAAGAAAGAAACCATGAGAATTAAATGAACTCTTATAACAAGAATTTATGAAAAATCTTAAACATTGTCATTTTATTCTAATGTCTTTAAATTTCATATAGAATAAAAATGTTCATTTTAAAACTTTAATACTTGATACATTTGTAGTTTATTTTCCTTCTCTTTAAGAAAAAAAAAACAATATATCAAGGAACAAACTATCTATGTCTTAGAGTTCCTTGGTGAGGGAGTGGCTTGTCATTAGATTTAAATATTGTCACATCATCTGTAGTTATTTTCTACATTTTTTTTTGTTATCATGCCTCATATATTTGCTACAACTTGTGATAATATAAAGATATCTTCCAACTTAATTACCGGTGCTAATGACAATCCTTGAAGAACCTTTATGTCTGGTAACAAAAAGCAAAATGTTTAATAAATTGTCCAACAACAAAAGGCACACCATCGCCCTATCCACTTACACCACCTACCCAGAAGTGCATGCTGACCTTCCTATTGCCAGGCTAATAAAACTGGCTTTTCATGTCGACCACATTAGGGCCCTGGAGGTTTTAGAAATATACAAGGCCAGTCTGACAGGCGGGTGCATCAATTTTAAGGATGGTAACTCATTATTGTATGCCTGGCATTACTTGTGTGAAGAACAGCGTGCTGATTATTGAATATGTACTATTTACTTTTATACTGCATCCACAAATAATAGGCACACATGGGTTGCCTTATGTGTATATTTTTAGATTTCACACATTTGCAACTGTTAAGTTTCAGTTGGTTTTTTATGTTCCTTTTTAAAATCGTTCTGTTCTAAGCATTCCAATTTTGGAATTTGATCATACTCTAACCTGATGCTGACCTTGAGTAAGGTCGAAAGCATTTGTTGGATGATTTATTAAACTTTTTTTTTTTGTTACCGGACATAGAGGGTTCTTCAAGGGTTGTGATGGTATGTTGTAAGTACAGCAGACCCGCGGTAATCCGACAAATGTTTTGCAAGGCTGTGTCAGATGATCGAATTTGTCAGACTATAGAGTACTGCTGCTGACCCCTTGTAGTCCAGAACTTTTTTGAAAAGGAGTATCTTGTAATCCAACAAATTACATACTTATAAAAATGGTAAGATCAAATCTATATGTACTACATAATATACAATATAGGACTTAGTGAATTAAACAATACAATAGATAGCATAGGGTTTATTATAAAATTAACATCATTAATGCTATAGCACTTGCAAAAAAATAATAACTAAACATATTGATGTCAATCAATTACATATAATATATGTAAGTATTTCCAAGGTACATATTATGTATGATCTTAATTTGAAAATGGATAAACAAATAAATTTATGGTAAATCAAATATTCATCAATTTTCTTTTGTTTTACATTAGCTAAACGTGAGAGTAAGGCCTTGTCTCTCAGTTTGCTCAGAAGTAAAAGTTTGTTGTACGATGCACCATTCTCTTCAGCCCATTGCATACTGCATTGCATATAGGCATGTCGGATTTATAGGGGGTGCCAGATTATTGCGGGTCTACTGTATTTATGTAATGAAAGAAATAAATTTTGAACTAATTTATAAATGTAAAATATGATCAGTTATTAATATTTTTAAATGAAATAAGTTATTGAAATTATTATAATTTTTGTAATATTTCTAAAATTTCCACAAGAATGTTTCATATAGTTTTTGTAATAAATATGAAAAAAATTAGCCAGTTTTATCAGTTACTTTGTTTATTAAAACTTTTTAGATTAAAGAAATTTAATGTCAAAAACTATTTATTATATTTTTAATTACTCCAAAAATATTATATTGAATAATTATTGCCTAAACTAAACTTTATTTCATTTATTAGTAAGAATCATTTATGGTTAAAAATTTTACAAAATTTAAATTAAATTTTACAAAATGTTAAAAAAAAGAGTTTATTTATCTGGCAGTGTAATGCAATCCAGATATTTATAACTTCAAAATGATTTCTTATTATTAAATCTTACAATTCTGTAGTAAGAGAAAAGTTATTATTTATTGGTTGTTATTATTATTATTTATATGAAGAAACAGAATATATTTAGATATAAAAATAAAATCATTAGATCTTTTTATTGGCCAAACATGATTCCTTAAAATGATATATATATATAATGTGATAGTAATTTTTTTTTTTTTGGTCATCATATCATTTGAATGGGAAGATTTATTTTTGGATAAAAATAAAATTTGCGTGACTAAAATGATTTCTAAATTACCTTCACATTCTACTATACCAATATTACAGTGTACTTGTATGGAGAAGAGTGATATGATCATAGATTTACAGTAATTATATTTCATTTACAGAAACAGATCTTTTGTATGGTGATATGTTATTCACAATGTATTAATTTTGAAATACATAGAAAATTTAATTCTGAATATTTGTTTTTATCTCAGCAGTTTTCACAAGCCAGCAAAGCATTAAATAATGTTATTTAAAATTTATAAGAAAAATAAGTGATTTAATGATTATAATAATTTAGTCTTAATTCAAGAAAGTTGTTAAGATGACAATTTTCATTACTTATTTCATTAATTATTGAATTACTTATTTTCTTAAAATCAGATTAATTTTATTAAACAACATTAGATTTTTATTTGTGGAAAAACTGAACATTCATTTCTTATTACTTTAATATTCTAGATTATGAAAGATTTGCTTTAGGAACAGAAGAAGGCTTATATTGCATTGACTTAGACTGTGAAGGTAAAGTATAATATAATAATATTTTTAATATATTTTGTTTTAATTTCAAGTTATCATAAAGTATAATTAAGTTTATAATCTTTATTAATAAAATAACAAAGTAATAAAATGAACTTAACTGAATTGATTTCATATAGTTAAACAGTTGGTGAATGGAGAGATTGCAATTGCTTATTATCATAACAAAACTTTAAAAATAAATGGCAGTTTGAATAACCATTTATTTTAAAGAAGGTACAATATTAGAAGTGTACCTCTAAATCAATTGTTACTTGGAGAGGAAACACATGAAACAAGATTGCAGACAATCTTGACAAATTTTTCTATAAGTCATGGACATGGACAGTCTGAAAAGAAGAATTTCTTCTTTTCAGACTTTCTCTTGCAAAGTTTTCATATGTACTTTTGGACTGGTGTGAGATGTGAAGATATTCACATTTAAGTTTACCTGCTCCATTTTTTTAGATCCTTTTCTATTTTTTTTTTCACCCTACTATATCTGTCATTTAGGTGAAAAAATGACATTCTTATTCAGGACAATGTTGTCTCTTGTATTACTAGCAAGCTGGAGAATCTAATCCCAACATACATGGCAATACATATGATAATAGAAACGTTTAAAACTTTCTCAAATTCAAAAATTATACTACTAGGGAGAACTCAAATGGATGATTGATTTTTGTTTCACTCTAATATTACTTATCAGTCCACTCCTGAGATTATGGAACTCTAATATGAAAATAGATTCTTATAGTCACTATTACATTACTTACTATTATAGTTTCAAGAGTATAAAAATGAGATTTGAGGATAGATTCTTATGCATCTAGCATTATTTGTCAATAAAGCAATTATTCTGCATTGCTTTATTGAAATATAATTTAAAATTTCTCTATATATAGTAGCAAATACACAGTCCAGTCACATTAATGTGACCACCTCTTACTGTCGACATCAACATGAAATAACTAATCACAGGTGGAAGGTAGCAACACATTGTAGTGGAGGATATATAAAGGGTATCTGAGGAAAGTGAAACATATTGCAATCATTGTTGTAATGGATGTATGACGCGATTTATCCACTGTCCAAAAAGGCATGATCATTGGCTTCTGGACCAAGGGAGGAAGCATTTTTGAAATGGCTAATTTTGTAAACTGTTCGCGTGCCACAGTGGTAAAAGTATACCATGCATGGCAAAATGGCACTATCCAAAATTAGTGACGTGGCAAATGTGGTGCACCATGGGCCATAGACGACAGAGGTACACGACAGGCAAATAGACATGCAACAGTTGACCAACTGACCACCCACATGAACCAAGGAGCTACCAAAAGTGTCTCCTCAACAACAGTTCAGCGAACATTGCTGTGTATGGGCCTCCGTAGCAGATACCTGGTTAAAGCGCCTATGCTGACTCCTGTTCATCAGCAACGAAGGCTGGGATTTGCACGTCAGTATGGCAATTGGATATCCACTTAGTGGTGACAGGTGGCTTTTTCTGATGAATCACATTTTATGCTCCATCAGACAGATGGACATTGGTGTATACGGCGTGAGGTGTCTGAAAGCAAACACCCTGCAACAATTACCGCAAGGGTCCAAGCTGGAGGAGAGAGCATTATGGTCTGGGGAATGTTTTCGTGGCATTCTCCAGGTGCACTCATCATTGTGGAAGGCACGATGGATCAACAGAAGTACGTATCTATCTTTGCGGACCATGTTCATCCTACATGTGGATTGTTTTTCCTTAGAACGATGGCATCTACCAGCAGGACAATGCAACATATCATACAGTTCTCAGTGTACGTGCATGGTTTGAAGAGCACGAGAATGAGTTTACCGTACTCCCCTGGCCACCAAACTCCCCGGACTTAAACCCAATCGAGAATCTGTGGGACCACCTCAATTGGGTTGTTTGTGCCATGGATCCTCAACCACGCAACCTAGCGCAGTTGGCCAAAGCACTCGAGTCGGCATGGCTCCACATTCCTGTGAGTACTGTACCTTCCAAAACCTCATTGATTCTTTTCCTGGCACATCTGGCAACGGTTCGTGCTGCGAAAGGTGGTTATTCTGGCTTTTGACAGGTGGTCACATTAATATGACTGGACTGTGTATATATGTATTATTTTTATTTTTTCTTATGAAGCATATAATTGTTGTTTATGTTCCAATAAAGCAGTGCTCAATTTTTGAAATGATTTATCATATATTTTTATGAAAATTGATTATTTATTTATAGAGCTTGTTATGCAAATCTTTTGTTTTTATTGATTTAAAGCTAAGTCTACATGTACAAAAAAGAATTCTGAGAATCTGTCTGGACAGTGGTACTATGAAGAAATGCAAACCATTAATGTATCTAAAAAGGATTTGAATTCTGGTTATATATAAAAAGTCAGATAGAAAAGAAATCAAATGGGAAATTTTGGAAGAAATTAAGAAATGAAAGAGTATTATCATTAATAATGAAGTGTCTTAAAGTGTGATAGGGATGTATCATATCATACAGCATGGAAGTTGTCTTTGCCAAGGGCTATATTGAAGGAAAAAAGACTAAAGAAAAAGACCTAAATTTCCATTATCTAATAGCAAACTAATCCAAGGAGTACAAGACTAAAACAAGATAATCATGATTTGAATTGTGTGTGTACTTAAGTACGGTACATACATACTTATTTTTTATTCTTATTATCTATTATAAAGGCAGTGATGATATTTAGATTGTGAAAAATTCTGATATTTTTGTTATAAACTAATGCTATATTAAAGAAATTCAATTTATATTAAATTGTTGAATTTTAGTAAGATTTTTATTTACTAGATTAACAAATGTGAAATTAAGAAATAAATATTAATTGTCTTTTTCAAAATAGGAAAACTCTTGGGCTGATAGAAAAGCAGTTTTATGAATTATCTTAAATACATTTGAGTTAATTGTAATATATTTGTTTTCTAGTAAATAAATTAGTTATTTTAATAAACATTTTTATTTGTTATTTTCCTATTGAATATTTAACAAATGAATTTCAATTTCTGGAATTTTTTAACAGTACTTACCTGCATGCCATTACTATAATATTGAATATTTTCACAATAGCATAGATCTATAGGATTTAACTTTAGTTTTTGTTTTTATGGAATAAGGAACTTATTATAGATAACAAATTATTAGTTATAATTGATTTCTTTATAAAATCAATGGACATTAAGAAATATTTCTCAGGGGCCAGGCTACATAGCACCAAAATTTCCACTTGGCGATATTTTTATTAAAATGGCAATAAAAACCCTAGTCTGCTTATTTTGACATTAAGTATGAAATTGAATCACAAAGCATGCTTCAGGATAAACAGCAGAATATTGAGGTCCTGTGCACCACACCTAGTGATTTCATGATGTCACATGACAAGTTCACGCAGGAAGGTAGGAAGTGATGTTGAGAACTGACAGCAATTTTTGTGCAATGCTACCCAGAGTTTTCAGATTGGAGATTTTTTATCAACCAACAGAAAATTTGGGAAATTTTTTGGGGTGACATTTTTTTCACTTTGATCTTTTTTCAGTATACTATTTTATCACTGTTTAAACATTGTGATCAAATGTGTTATTTCGAATTATTCATTAAAAAGTTATTCAAAAATTATTCTTATTTCTAAGTGACAGCTTAATATATTACTTTTGCTTTCCAGACTCCAAACTGTTAACGTTACCAGCACCTGCATTAATTAGTAAGTAAAACTGGTGGCAAAAAAAATTTTAAACTGGTGAATTGGTTGGCAATTTTTTAAAATTTTTCAGAGCAACCCTCTGATTACTGCAAAAACTACTGTACAATTTGTGAAAACTTATTTTGAATTAATTGAGCTCTGTTGTCACTTAGTCGTAATTAGCACCACTTCCTTGTATTGTATTGTTATTATTGTCAATTAAAATATTAACTTATTTAATTACAACAGCCTTTTTAAGAAATTTATTATTAATTTTTAAAAAAATTGAAATACTAAATGTTTTCAAAATTTTTTTATTTAATAAATGGCAGTTGCATTTATTATTAAGCAGTTTTTGTGTTGATAGAGAAATTGAAAAAAATATAAAAATTTAATAATGAATCACAATTCTGCCTGCCTACTTTAGTGACAAATTACTTTGATTAGTAATATCTATATTAAAATAAACAGCTCAGTAATGAATCTTACAATTATTTATTAAGTGTCTTAAAGCTTAAATTTATTTATTTTATTATATCTGTTTAATTTCAATGATCATAAGATTTAAATAAATAATATTTACATTATACATTATTACTTTTAGAAATTTCTAAAGTAGGAGATGGGAAAAAGATCTCACAAATAGAGTATATTGCTGAAGAACAACTGTTGATTGTAATTGCAGGTAAGTATTTTAATATGATTTTATAAAAAATATTGTTAGACAAGGTATTGTTATAAAAGTTCTAGGAATGGGTCAAAAAATCAAGATGTGTTAGAATATAGAGAAAATTTATTTAATATTTAAAAAAATAATCACTTGGAGTTTCAATATACTTTTTTAAATGATTTTTTTTCGATTTAGATTCTTTCAGAGTTCTCAAAAGTTTCTTTAGTTTGTGTTGTACAAGTTCTGTTGACTTTTAAAGTTTTAAAGATTTCTAACTTTGGGTAAAGAAAAAGTCATTAGGAGCTAAATTGGGGAAAATACAAGGGGTTGCAAGATAATAGCATGCACAACATGCAGTTAAAACTTGAGTTAAAACAAGTGACATTGTTTTTATATGTAGGATTACTGTCAAATTTGTAATTGGTCATTACAGAATTAAAGTCTTCATTAGGCACCTCCCATAGAAATTACCTTGAGTTAAAGATAAATTCAAGGATCATATACTGACACAGTTAATATTGATTTGAGAAATATCTTTTCTCGTGATAAGCTGTGCTAGTTAGATCATCAAGACATGTTAAAATCTTAATAGTAAAAAACAAAATAATGCCTTCTGAAATTCTTGTAAATAACAAAATACAGTAGAGTATCGTTTATCCGAAAATCGGTTATCCGTAACGTCAGTTATCCGAAAGAATTTCAGTTGGCAAATTTAAATTTTTGCTAGTGCTGTGGCACTGCAATCTTTGGCTATGTCTTGGGCTACTCCAATATATTTTTTGTTGGTGTGTGTGTTTTAGCTGGTAGCACTGGCACTTTTGTATGGTATTTTTCTGAGGACTGTGTGTCATGCTGAATCAAACGTTTTTGATACTAGATTAACTTCTGAAGTATAAATTTTGTTTGTTTTTATATTTTTCAATATATTTATTTTGTTTGTACAAAATAAAGAAATAATTTTTAACGATACAATAGCCACGATTATTATTTTAAAAAGTTTATGTTAGGCTTAACATCGACGAAAATTCAACGCAAAGCGACACGCAATGGAGAAAAATTTCAGCATGGGATAGGTTAATATATTTTTTCGTACATAATCGGTTATCCAAAAAATCAGTTATCTGAACAACCCCAGTCCCCAATTGATTCGGATAAACAATGCTCTACTGTACAGTACATCAGTTGCAAAGTGGTGCAAAATGTTATGCTTCTATTATTATAATATAAAGAATTATTTGTCATCTTATGTTAAAAATTCAGAATGGAATGTAAGCAAATCTGCTTTCAAATTACTCTTTTGATATTATTTACAATTAACATTTTTAAAAGAAAAAATTTTCTTAATTTGATGCTATCAAACATTAAGAATTATTTGATGTATTAAATAATGATTTGTCATTTGTCAGATTAATAAAAATTAAAAAATGTGAATCTAATAAAACATTTTCAAAATTTTCTGTGAAATAATTGTAGTGGTAATTTTTTCCAATGATTTCACTTTTTAATGCATGTCTGTTATCATCTTCTGATTAGAAATATGCAGTAAGAAACTGCTAATGTAAATTAATATTATATGACAAGACTGCATTTAACAGAAAATTTTTTTCTGTTAAATGCACTCATGAGCATTCTCCTTCCCTGTAAATACAAATTGTTCTGCACACGTATAGCATTGTATTTCCTTGTCTTATCCAACAGTCTTCCTTTGTGGCTCATGTCCTCCTTTTTCCACTTTCAAATCTCCAACTATCTCACCTTCCTAACTTTTCCTCAAATCACTCTCCTTCCTTCCTTCACCCATCTTTCCTATCTTCTAAGGTTACACCTTTGAGTACAGCCTTTTCTTTTGCATGTATGTATGTTAAATGCAGTCTTGTCATAATTCTAATTCTCATTTCATAATGTTCTAATACAGAGTTGATTGTTTTGATAGGTGATAATCTTTTATACATCAAGACAAGGATAAAATAATAGATTTATGTGCAAAGCTTGAAATTTTATTGAAATGAATAGTTACAATAGATAAAATCTGAAGTTGATTTCTTTTGCTTGCAATGTATTGTTAATGTTCCACAAAATTATTAAAAATTCAGTGTAAAAGATAAGTATGATAAAGCAATAATTTTAGCTTAAATACTTCAACTTTTGGATAGTCATTTTCATGTAACAGTGAAACTTGACTTACAAGGTATATCTCAAACTCCTCTTGGATATGTCTATATGAAATTGTTGCTGAATTAATTAACATAGTATACACAAAAGATTTGTTTCTTTACTATATAAGCATCCTCCTTTTTTCACACTTCTTAAAGTGTCATGTGCTATGTCTGTTACAAAACCAGTATCTTCAACTTTTGTGCCTTTAACCTAAAATTGTATGTACCACTGTGATGGAATGAGATTATGTTTATTGATAGAAAGATTAAACTGCCATTGTAAATTATTAATTATTTTGTTACAATTATCCTTTTGGGAGTTATCATATGTGGAGACTGATTTTTTTTGGAGTTTAGTTTTTATTTAATATTAAAATACAATACTTAAACTATTTTTATAATAGTCTTATTTACAATTAACAGCCTAATAATAAATATGCATTTTAGCATCATACCCTCATCAGTTTACATTTTTTAGGCTAGTATATTTAAGGTTCCAAACATATTTAAAATAATCACGTTGAATGTATTTAAAAAATTCAATCATATACTGGGCATGCTAATATATTTACATATGTACTGGATATTACTAAAACACTTAAAGTACCTATCAATAAATCATTAAAATTATTCTTTGTTTTCATTGCAAATGCATCTTTACCGGGTTTTCTCATTCCATTTTCATATCATATTTAGCATGATATTTTGCATGCCTGTTTTCCATATCAAATTAACTCTTTATTAAAACTTCTGTTTTCCAAACTGTAACAATGTAATCTTTCATCATTTATATCAATATGCCCAGAATCTTAAATATATTAGTTTGTATAATAGAACAACTTAAAAAATGTAAACTGATGAGGGCATGATGCCAAAATGCATATTTATTATTAGGCTGTTGATTATTTTAAATATGTTTGGAACCTTAAATATACTAGCCTAAAAAATGTAAACTGATGAGGGTATGATGCCAAAATGCATATTTATTATTAGGCTGTTAATTGTGGATAACATTTTTATTGTAAAAATAGTTTAAGTATTGTATTTTAATCTATATATATATAAATGGACATGTGCCTATACATCACTCTGCAGCCAAAACTACACATTGCACATGAATGGTGTTTGTGTGTTGTAGTAACCCCAAGTCTCCCATTGTGCACTATGATGGTGGTGTCTCGATAGCTGTAAGGATGTGAGAGATATGGGGTTTGAAAGTGGTTGACTTCGAAAATGTGTGATGCTTCAATGAGAATGTTCCAGCTTTTTCTAGAAAGTTCCAGAACCTAGAGGTGAAATTTGGTACACAGTTAGGGTACATCATGAAAACGCACACTAAGAAGGGATTTTTCAAAATTCCCCCATGGGGGCAAAGGGGAGCATTAAAGCTTAACCTGAAGAACGGCTTCTACTGTACTATTTTAGATGCAATTTTTTTTTTTTATATTTTAATTACGTTTAGTCTTCATTGAGTACTTAGGGGTATAAATTGATAACATTTCAGACATTGTTATAAATATTTTTTATATATTTCGATTTTTTAACCAAATATTCGAACCGTTTTAAATTTGAATTTCTTTTTGCATATTGGTTCGATTATAGAATGATTGCAAACATTCCAGAAAATTTATCAAATTAAAAACAGTTTGTTTGATTCTCAGCAATTCTCATCATTCTCAACGGTAGGTGTTAAATAACAATTACTATGGTTAATATCAAAAGCGCTCAGCAACTGAATAAAGAGAAACAAAATACCTTTTTTGCCGAGAAATAAATATAATTTCAAAAAACAAATGTTTTCAACCTAGGATGGCCTATTAACTAGGTTGAAAACGAGAATTATATTTATTTCTCGGCAAAAAAGGTGTTTTGTTTCTCTTTAATTACTATGGTTGTTGAAATATTGAATGTACGTACGGCCGATTGCAGAGACAGAGTTTACATTAAACGACGTTTACATTGGCTCTTACTTACTTCGCTATTACTCCCCTGTTTTAGGAGTCGTTCGGCCAATCGGATTATTTCTTCGTGACGTCAGAAATGGTCGAGTGAGTCTAGAAAATAGGTCAAATAACTTGTTTCTAATCGCTGTCTACAAGACAGCGATTAGAAACAAGTTATTTGACCTATTTTCTAGACTCACTCGACCATTTCTGACGTCACGAAGAAATAATCCGATTGGCCGAACGACTCCTAAAACAGGGGAGTAATAGCGAAGTAAGTAAGAGCCAATGTAAACGTCGTTTAATGTAAACTCTGTCTCTGCAATCGGCCGATAGGGTTTGTTTGCAAAATCTGTGCAAGCAAAGCCGCGGGTAACAGCTAGTATTAAATAAAATCTAAAAAATTGATTTTCACATATGATAAGCCCCAAAAGACATTATGGTCCTAAAAGGATAATTGTAATGAAATAATTAATAATAGTAAACACAAGGACTAGAAGCATGCAATTTAATATTGCCATTGTAAATGATCTGTCTGAATGACAGCCTTTGTTCATAATAAAAGTAAACAGCTATAATTCTGTGGGCTATTAAACTTTGTTGTTATATTGAATTTGTAGCAAAGGATAATGTGAAACAAAAATTAATGTAAAGAAGCATAATACGGATTGTGTTTATTTTTTAATACAATTTATTGTTTGAAATTGTGCTTAAAATATTTTACAATTGAGACATATAGTTTCAAAAATGCCCAAGTCCATATTTCATAAAAATTATCTACTTCACTTATATAAATTTTAATCAATTATTTGAAGATTATTTCTTTTTAATAAAATATTTGGTATATCATTTTAGTATAATGCATTGATACTAAAATTATTTCATAATAGTTTATGGTAATTCGCCAATTATTAAAGCTAATTAATTTTGATATCAGAATTATGAGTTTTTAATTTTATATTAACATATAAAAAATTTCTATTAATGTAAAACTTGTATGTAGCTGTGCTTGTTAAACTTTTGAAATATAGATAAATCTTTTTATAAATGATACTTTTCTAACTAATTATAGAAAGATTTTAATATGACTATTATAATAATATAGAAAAAAATGTGTACGATGTCTGGAAAATAACTAGTCCAAATTATTTTCAAGACACAGTATATTTATTTTTTATTCAATATTATTACCAATGTTACTATTATTTCTTTCTAAACGATGTTCATAAATGTAGAAACTCTGATGTAAAAATTATGAATACGTTCATTCAACTTTCTTTTAATATTTATTTTTTTATAACATGAAAAAATATGTAAAGTAATAAAATTTAATAAATGTTTCTTTAACTTTTTATTTAATGAGTTCTTGATTAAATTTATCTTTTATTTGCAGAATTATTTTTGCTTAGTTTTAATTTGTATATTGCTTAATGGTTATATAACAATTCAGAATTTAAAGAAACTAGTCATTTGATAATGTACAATTTTATTAAAAAATTAATATATCTTTAATTTATTTATTGCAATTTTAAGAGAACATTGCATGTAAATTGTTTATCTGTGTATTACTATCGAATAAAATGTTACTGTATACATAATAAAACTTCAGCATTAATTGGCTATTTTTAGAATAATTATTATGGAAATGGATGTATGCTATTCTAATTTTTGGCTAATAAAACCAACTAAAAATTATTAACAATTTTGTCATGTATCTTTTTTATGTCTGTCTTTTAGGAAACCAAGACCACTTAATCAACCTCTAAAAATTTCTTTTATTGAAATGCATTTCAGATGAGAGACCAAATTCCTCTTCAGGCAATTGTTTTCTCATAATAAGGAAACCACCCCTTGAGCAGTTTTCATAACTTTCAAATGTGAGGAAAAAAATGTGACAAAATTGTTAGTCTCTAGTTGGTTTTATTAGCCAAAAATAAAAATGACTATTGTTAATTGTATATTGAAGATTTAAATTCTAAAATTATTTTTAAAAGTTTTCTCAATCAGGTTTTAATTATTGCAGACACTTAGCTAATTTTTCTTATCTAATTGCATTTAGGTAAACAAAGACATCTGAAATTAATACCTGTGGGGGCTTTAGATGGACTTGAGGTTGAATGGATTAAAGTAACTGATACTAAAGGATGCATAGCATTTTGTACTGTTTGTTTATGTAAAGGCTCTGTGTCTACTTATGTAATATGTGTTGCTTTTAAACGTCAGGTAAGTGTTTAAAAATTATAACTATTCTAATTTTTTTATGAGCGAATAGAATAGATTTAAAAGCTAATAGAAATTCATTGATTTTATTAGTTGATTACTAACAAAACTTTCACTATCCAGTAGTAGATTTATTTAAGGATAAATATTTTTTATTACTTTCATTTTTAGGTTCCAAACAAATTTATGGTTTTGGATTAATAAACTCCAAATACCTTTAAAATGCAGTCTATTTTAAAAACTTCTCAAACGTTTTCGGTCAGATTAACAGACCTTCTTCAGGATCGAACTAATAGAATTTAAATTTGCTAAACGGAAATTCCAAAACGTTCTATAATCTTCTATAATCTTCTCATATTCAATTGCATGTCCATTTCTACAATTTTAATGCCGCCACTTTCCATGCTGATGCTATTTTGTTTGATTCTCGAAAATTTGTATTTTGCCCTTTTTCTCTGTATTTGTAAATGTGTCAGGCTTCTGCGTATTTTAGATGTCTTCTATTTTCAACCTTTTGTATGACATCTGCCTTGCTCCATTTGATTTCAATCTCTGTTGGATCTGCAATTGCATAATTAGCCAAAGCTGTGATTGGTTGTTTAAATCTTATATTCTTTTCAATCTTTCATTTAATGATTCTTTGTGGCTCCTATATAATATATCTCCTTTTTTCAGCCTCTTATCATGCAACAGTATTCTGTACACACCTGGAACCAGCCTCCTGTCTATGGGTGTTTTGTCATTTCTATGGGTGTTTTGTCATTTGGGCATTTGGAATATTGTTGCGTTTCTCTTATATACTATTCTCTTGTTGCTTTCTATTCCTATTTTTCTGTATATGTTACCTAATGGTGCTCTGTATTTCATTATGGTGAACTCCTTTTTCTCTCACTTGTCTTTATTCTTATTGCCTCCTTTTTCTGCTTGTATTAAGGCTTTTACTTTATTTTGCTTAAGTCCTACATCTCTTGCTAGCTTTGCGATGTATTCCAGCTATTTACGTGTGTCATGAACCTTGCTACAATGAGTGTACGCTCTTTTAATCAGTGCTCTAAATGCTGCTTGTTTGTAGCTTGTTGGGTTATGAGAGGACCATGGTATCAAATCCAGAATGTACGTCGGTTTTCTATATACTTTAGTAGCGATTTGCCCTTCTTCTTCTATTTCGACTTCTATATCTAAGAAATATATCCTTTTATGATTTTGCTTCTCTAGTTCTAATTCCAGGCCATAAGTATTGCTGTTTATATCTCTAATAAATTGGCATATGTCTGGTTTATCCTTCCAAATAATAAATACATCGTCTACATACCTTGCATACATTATCACATTATCTTCATATTTCAGCAATATGCTATTTTCCAGAGATCTTATTACCATCTCACACAATAAGCCTGAGACTGGGCTACCCATTGGTACTCCTTTAAGCTGCGAGTATGCAGTACAGTCAAAAACAAAAAGTGAGGAGAATGTAGCCAAATGCGCCAGTTCTAGAATTTGCTTTCTTAACTTCACTGCATTATCGATATTGCCCAATAAAAAATCTCTTAGGTGACAAAAACATGGTTCAAGCTTAATTGAAGGGTAAATAGCCTTAAAGTCGAGCACTGTCATGTAGCTTGTTTCGTTAACTTTCAGTTGTTTCAACTTCTGGAGCACTTCTAATGGTTGCTTTACATTATAAACGTGTGGAGGCATGTTTGCATTAATAAATTCCATAAGCTTCCGTTCTAATAGTATCGTAGGTGCACGGCATTTATCCACTACTGGCCTCAAGCTTCTTTCTGATTTATGTGTCTTAGCAAATCCGAATAGCCTCGGCATGGCTGGGGATGAAACTATTATCCTCGTCATTTCTAGTTGCTTAGCTAACGTTGTCGTAGAGAACGTTAGCTTGCTTGTAATTTTTCCAAAGCCTTTGGGTGTGCCATTTTTATGATTTATGGTTTTGGTTTTAGTTTTATGCTCTGTCATCCAATTTATAACTTATCTATGTTGATTAGTTGTTCATCTATGGCAATACAATCTATGTTGATTAGTTGTTCATCTATGGCAATACATCTATGTTGATTAGTTGTTCATCTATGGCAATACAATTAAAAAAGATATTGCTTGTAAAAAGGTGTTTTTTTGTTGCAACTATTTTCGTTTTTTGCATTAGAGATATCTTCAGGCAAAGATCTAGAAAAATATAAAACTTAAAATAATCAAACAAATAGTTTGAATCTTCCATTCAAAGATTCAAATTTGTATTAAAAAGCAATAATCAGTGATTAATTTTTATATTAAATAATCTTTTGTATTTTTTAATTGTAGAATGGCCTTATTACATGCTTTTAAACAAAACTATTTAATCACAATAGACTTATTCAGGAAAGTGCTTTGGTGCTGCAGCACCACTTGATACCAAAGCAATTCCCTGTATAGCCTGTTTTAAAAAATAATTACAAACAATCTTTACTTACCTTGAACAGATAGTCACTTATACACAAATCACTTTATAATGTGATATCTCATCAACTTATATGTTGTTTTGCCAACAGTTAAAGGTGAAAACTCATAAATTTGCATTTTCCCATAAAATGACATTTAAAAACCTTACAATTTATTTTTAAAAATCTAAATTTTTTTGTTTATTTTTTAGTTTATTTTAACAAAAGTATAATTATAAGAGTTGAGCTGTTTATCTATCTAGTGTACTGTACTAGTTATGGTTACCTTTAGCTCTATGTGAAAAATGTAGTTATAGTTATGACTAAGGATGGGAATTAAGTGCACCAAAATATCAATAAATATGGATGAATCTATTCTCTAAAAACTGAATAAATATGATTTTTAATCTGTTCTCAGTCTTATTTTTTCAGGTTGACACAAAAAGTGTTAATTTTCTTTGTTATTGATATTTGATATATAATTAATTTCGATGAAAAATATGCAAAAAATTAGTTTCTACAGATGTTTTTTCTAAGAATAAAATAATTTATTCTGTTTTTAGTATTTTTGGAAAATAATTTGTGTTGGTGATGCTAATTTATTTAAAATAGTCAATATTATTGATATGCATCAACAATTTATAAAATTTCTAGAGCATTTTTCACACCAAATGTATGACACACATCAAAATTAAAAGAGCAATTATTACATATGGATAAACAGGATGGAACGATATAATATTAAATTAAATATTATGAATAAATTAATTCTTCAATCTAAAAACTTAAAATAAACACTATATATAATGGTTTGCATTATATCTGCATAAAAAATTAATAGAGTAAAAAGACTGAAAGACAGTTTACCACAATTACAAAACTAATGTCTCACTAATAAACATGAGAAATTTTTAACAGAAAATTTTATTGCATACTGCTATCAGCTTTTATTATATTATTTTGTTTCAAAAGCTAAACATGGCACAAATTTCATTAATTCAAGATTTAAATAACTTGGATAAACCATTGACTATTATTTGAGTCAATAGTGTGTGCATAGAGAATATAAATATACAGATATCACTCATATAACACGGTAGTTATATTCTGAAAAAGTGCCATGTTATCTAAATCATGCTATACGAAACAAAGGACTAATACAAAACATAGGGTTAGGTTCAAACAGTTAACACAAGTGTACTATTCTTTTTTGTTACTAAAAGAAATATGTTTATGAAAGCAATTAATAATTAACTAACAATCACAATTAAAAGTACTGTATGACGCATTAATATTAATTTTAGTTAAACAAGGCTTTTTTTTTTACAAAGTGGTGTTAATTTCTGATTCAATATCAATATTTCAATTTCAATATTTTTTTGTTGATCTTGATCAGAAATATCAGCAACATCTTCATTTTTTTAAATTTTATCATAACTTTTTATGAATGACAAAATAAAAAGAAAAATATATTATTAATAAAAAATTTGTTCTAAAGGATCATGTTTGTTCAGTCAAGTACTGGGTGATTCCCCCTCCAGAATTTGTGTTTGAATACTGAGATATCACTGTATTTCGTTCGTCATTTTTATGAATGAAGTAATCATTCTTAGATAATTAATATCTACAGTTAAAAAAATTTAGTAACACTTATCTAAAAAGTTTAAATGAACTTTACTAAATACAAAAACTAGTCTATAATAACAAAACACAGTGACAGTCTTAAGGGCTAAAGTCTGAAAGTAATGACGACAACACCCTGATTGATAGTAAAGCTAAGACAAGGGTAAAAAATTGTGCTATCAGTTTTCATTAAAGTAAATGCATTGAAAGGCACAATATAAATTAAAAATTTTACTATTCTAAAATCCATGGGAAAATTTGAGACAACATGCATGCTTACTTGAATAAAAAAAAATTATCGAATAATGGAGTTTGCACTTAAAAATTGTAAAATTTTTTTATAGAGGATTACCAAACCATGTTAGAGTAAAATCAGAAACTACATTGTATGGGGGATATCCCCAATTTTTGAACTGTGTTGGATACCTGTACTTATGATGAAACAGCACAGAATTTAATCAGAAAGTGGAGATACCATTTGTTATTAAAATCAACCAAACAGATACCATTTGTTATTAAAATCACTATTACTCTGTAGTCAACTGAATTTTTTTCTAACCAGTCAAAGCAAGAAATTTAAAAGTTTGAGAAGGATTAATTTTCACATTTAAATTAAAAATTGTTTACAATTGAGATTTGTCAACCAATCATACAAACATAATTTTAAAGTTAAAATTGAAGACCAAATCTGTTGGAAAATAGTCATCATTTATTCACTCTCACTGTTCTGGAATACAGCTTTTGATAATCAACTTTTCTTTGTAATTCAATTTGGTTGCCAACAATTTTTAAAACGTTTACTTTAAAAACAATGAAAAAATATATATTAGACTAAAAACAAACACTTTTTTAAACTTGGCACTGGTAGCAACAGAGATGTCTTCTTTCCTTTCTATCTATGCCATATTGGGAGCTTTTTATCTATTGAAGTAAGCACTGATAAATGTAGATTTTTAGCTGCCCCTTGGTGATGAATATTTGCAAAATATAATAAGTTTAATTTCTAAACATTAAAAGGGTGGGAATCCAAAGAGATCAGTTAGAAATGGTTTAAATTGTTGGTATTGAAATCAAATTTAAAATTTAAATTACAATGAAATTATATTCATTGACAATTTTAATTTCAAACTTTGTTAGTATTGGGCTGTTAAATTATTTAACTTTCATAACTTTTGACAATTCTCAATATCAGTAATATCAAATATCAACAACAATATTAGTCAGTTTTCATTTTTCCAACTTTGTTATTGGAAAATAGTAAACACTATTAGATTGTTTACCCATGGTCTATTTCTACTTTCCTAGCTTTGTTCTAAATAACAGAAGAAAGTATGGTTGTCAGTCAGAAATGAACCCTCAAGATTTTTACATTTTTAGACTCTGAATCTTGAAACATCTAGAAATACAAAAAAAATTTGGGGTTTTTTACTGTGTGTGTGTGGGAGGCAAGATTTTATTTGCTTTCTTTGAAGTTTAATATCTCCTATGCTATTTGTTGAAAATTTCTGAAATTTTGCATGGAGGTTTGTGTATTAGAGGATTGATGCTATTAAAGTTTGATGAATAAAGGTCAACGGGATGGGGAGATAAAGGGCATCGTGTGTCATTTCTCAAGTAGGGTCAGACTTGATGATTTTACTTGTTAGCACTTACAATGTTTTATAAAACCCATCCTTACTCTCAAAATTAAGCTTTTTGTAATTTTATAATTATTGAATTAGATTCTAATTTGAATTTAATTCAAATACTTGTAAATAATGTACAAAACCTAGGTTGTGGTATTACTGAAGTTTCAAACCACCTAGCAGTTTTAATTATTAATTACAATGCCTCATATTATTTTTTTTATATAAAAAAAAACTTTATTGCAATACTAAAGCCTTGTTTCTTTAATATTTTTCAAAAAACAAAAAGTTTATAGCATAGAAATGAAATAGAAATAGAATGCTAAATAGAAATAGCATAATCTATAGTTTTTGATTATGGACATAAATTTATTGTTTTAAAAAATTATTTAACCTGTGCTATATCCAACTGTTTATGGTCTGAAATAATACCTCAAGTCCTTACGCCATCATCACACAAGTGGACAATGCCAACTGTATATATTAGCAAGTAAACTTTCAGCTTATTGATAAATTCAGCAATGTAATTGGTGCTGAAGGTCTTTTAACAACACACATGGAGCAGTATTGCAGTTCCAAAATGGTAGATCTCGGTGAGCTGTTAGAATGTTTTGTGAATTATTTAATTCAAAACATTTTAAAAGTAATTTATTTTTGCTATTTAAGGCTTTATTTAGGAGGTAAAATTAATGATTTAAATTTAATGTATGCAGCTTTTTTCACCAACATAAAGTTGGTGAAAAAAGCTGCATACATTAAATAAAAGCTGCATACATTAGTAGATAATGAAACATTTTAAATATACAAGTTTTATCAAATCTTTTATTTTACTATGAGTATTTTAAAAAAATTGGTACAAACAGAAAATTGATTTATGGTGATCAAAACCTTACAATTTTACTGTTACATCATATAAGAATTTATCTTCACACATCTCCATCATGGAGGCAGCCATCTTGTTACAGTGAAAAAAAACAGCTGAAACAAGTCCTACAGATTTAACCTCAAACCAGTGAGACTGCTGCAAGGATTGCTGTGTGCAATGGTCTAAGAAAATGAATTCAGCAACACTCTTGACAGCATCACTTAGCAACGTTTAGTTTAACAACAACCTGGGGCCATATTCTGGTCACTTATCTCTCGTTTCTTCATTCAAGGATGAATGATGTCAAAACGAGAGATGAAATTCGTTTCTCAGAGACAGTGGTGAATCTGGTCACTTTTAACGATCTCGTCTTTGTTGATGACGTCACAATTCTACTAGGTTGATTATATATGTTTGGGTTATCTGCGCACACAACATGATATAGAATTTTAACCAATAAAATTGTAAAATTTTCGAAAATGCAGAGTACATATAGATCATGTGGCAAGGAAAGCACATATTCAAATAAACCACATAATTTTGACGAAGTTTGTTTTTCATTTTATAATGTTTTACAGATTGTAATGTCAATTTGTCTCTTAACAAATGAAAATTTTAATAACCTAAGTTAGAAAAGTGTGCGTACTTAGATATTTTTCAAAATATTACCATCTAATTTCTCCTTAATTTAACTATCTAAGATTAACATCATATTCAATAGTTCAGTAGGATAATTAAAAAAAATGGAATCAGTGGCATTTCTGAGTAGACACTAGAAAAAAATCAGCATTTTCTCTCAAAATATTCTTTCCTGAGATAGAGAACATTCTCTAATATGATTGTACAGCGTGAGTAGCATCCAGTCATCCATGTTGGATATATCAAGACAAAAGATGAGTCGAAAGACAACTATCCACTCATCTCTGAGAAACGAGAGTGTCTTTGAGAGAAAAAGTTGTCTAGATGATCTCTCAAGATGTAAACAAATGATTAGCCAATCAGCAACCGGCTTGTGAGAGATGAGAGATAAGAGACAATGACCAGAATACGGCCCCTGTTCTTCTACAGTGGGTCATATTGAAAAAAGAGAAACAAATGTGTGTGTATATTTGTTGTAATGTTTTTCAAATTGTTTGAAAAATATTACAACTCATGAAGAAACTTTTGTAATTTAAATTATATTCTATTTACTGATGTAGTCTTCAATGCTTGAAAGGCAAAAGGACTTTTAATTAATTTTTATTTTAATAGTGTATTGTCAGTTTTGGACAACATTGTTTGAATATTATTACTGAAAGTTTAATTGATAGATATTTTGTTTTTGTTTTTATGATTTAAAACTAATGCTAGATAATTACAATTATTTGGAATTAATTGTACATTATTATGAAGATTTATGATTCTTAGACAACCTAGTTTTTATTTATTATCTTTATTCTTCAATATTCATTAGATTTTAATATCGGTATATAGTAATTTTTTATATATATTTATATCTAGTACATTGTGCAGTAATTTATCTAAATATAAATGTGACTTATTAACACAAATAATTCCATTTTTAGGTAATTATGTATGAAATAAATAGGCTTAAAGGCAGACATCAAAAACGTGGTGACATAACTCTTCCAGGAACACCTCAGTGCCTCGATATTATTGGAGACAAACTGTGTGTTGGCTTCCAGTCTTCCTTTTGCATGTATTCTCTCCGTTCTGATACAGCACCAGTCTGTAAGTTACAGAATACTATTTCCTTATTAAACATTGCATATTTCATAATTTCAATATTTCATAGAATTTATATTTTTATAAAATTTATAAAATGCAATTTATGACTAATAAAAAATACTATTATACTTCTCTGGAATATAAATTAGATATAAATTCACATTATCTTTACAATAAAAATATTTATTAATAAGAATAACTGAAAAATCAGAAGATATAAAAGATGAGCTAGCAGAAAAGTATTTGCAAGATTATTTTTATGCAAAATTTTATGCTTGTTTAAAATCTCTTTCCATTTTTTGAAACTAATATTTTCATCATAAGTAGCATTTGCATGTCTTTTCTAAATCTTTCCAAAATTTGGTTTTCTGAAACAAGTTCTTTCTTTGAATAAGAAGGAATTTATATTTCAGAAAGCTTTGAATATTTCTCAAAGTTTAGCTTTTTCCTTCTCTGTCTTGAAAAACACTAGCTAGTTCATCTACAAAATAAACTATGGATTTCACCTTTACCTAAAACATTCACTACTTTCTTTCAAATTTACTGATTTGGCAGTTTCAGATGTAATGCTATTCAAGTGCAAAAATGTAGTTTTTTTTTTTTTTTTTAGAATTAAAAGTTTAAATTTACTTTATTTTTTTTATTCACTTGTTTTTGGAATTTTAATCATCAATTTATACACAATATAATTTAATGTTAAATTTTAAAAAGATTTACACGTACTGAAAAAAAATTGATTTTAATTAATGTTTATACTTAATTTCATTCATTTTTATTATCAAAAATCTGTTAGAACTAAAACAGTATTTTATATATATTTAATTAAAAAATAATTTAAATATTTAATCATATATGTCTTAATATCTCTTTACATTTTCAGGTTTGATTAATTCTGACTGCAGTTCTCTTTCTTATCTTGCACATAATGCAATGGATGCATTAGTATCTGTGGAACTTTCTAATAATGAATATTTACTTGTATTTACTCGTAAGTAATATTATTTATAAATTTATTTACTGATAAAATTGAATAATGTTAGTTGTTAAATTAAATGCCTTAGGCTTCTTAATAATATTTATCATATTTTTATGTGAAAAATCTGCAAAATAAAAAGTTGCAAGAATTCAAATAAACCTTTGAATAATTCACACCAATATCCCACATATCCAAAGTAGCTGTGAAAACATAGAACTTAACTAGTGTAATTTAGAAGTGGTCTTAAACATTCTCCCCCCTTTTTTCTTTTTTTCCATTTTACTTTTATTAGTAATTCATTCAGATGTGATTCTAAAATAATTGAGAAGGAAGATTAAAATTTTTATATTTAAAGTAGATAATATAATGGTTAGATTGTTCCAATGATACTGATTTGAGAGTTGAATGTTTAGCTCCTACTATCTATAGAGAATAACATATGACAAAATTGATTTCTAAGTAGTTTGTAAATTTTAGTTGTACTTGCAAGTATATATCCCCAAAAATGACTTAAACTAACTTTTTATTAGGGTTCACTAGATAGCCAGATCTGGTCTTTTTAATAGAGATTGACACTTATGATTGCTTTGTGTATAATAGAGATCTATAAAATTTTTCAAAACAATGACTTTCAATTTCAATAAAGAAAAAATTGAATACTAGTGGTTATGGGGGCCTGAGTTTTACCTCCGGAATTTTTTATATATATTGATATTTTCAAAAATAGATCGAAGAGATTTATCATATTTAAGAGAACTGAAACTTTATTATTTTTATTTTACTTTAAGGACATCTCTTATTTGGCTGTAGCATGTAGTTTTTATAGTTTCTCAACTTGTGGGAATGATAGAAATTATTGTAGTAATAACAGAAAGTTTTGCAGAAACTATTATATATGAGATGTATAGATTTTATATTTTTACAAGATTAGCAATTGTTGATGATATTAAATATTTTTATACGTAAATAAAGAGTATTTGATTTGTTTGATGGAATGATTTACAGTAAATCTCTTTCCTGTAAATTTTTAAACTATCATAATTTCCTGCATATAACCCAAGGGTTAATTGTATTTTAAAGTCAGTTTGAAAGCAGATGCAGGCTATTCATCCTAGCAATTTTTGTGGGTTATATGAAGGAAATTATAGTACAATCAAACCTATTATTATATTAATAGTTTTTGCAAAGTCTGCATTAATGAAACATAGATTCATAATCCTGTTTCAATGTTAAAAAATTCTATTAATACAAAATATCAGTTAATATATGATATGAGATGCTTCATAGTCCTGTGAATTCAATAACAATTATATTATATTGTTTAATACAAAGCACACTGCTTCTAGCTTTCCTGAAGTCATTCAGGCCAAAGTGGGAACACACAAGCCATATCATGACTCCTTAATATGGTGTTGCTTGTGTGTTGACAATGCTTATGGCATCAATATTATTGTCATCATTGTCAATGTGGGTGTATATTACACTAATAAATGATATTTGCTTCAACTCAAAAAATTATTCTTTTTCATTTTGTCAGCACTTTGTATACTGTGACAATACTAAATGATTAGTTAAGACAGTTGACATGTGCATTGGAAATCAGAAGTTAATAGGATTGGGAGATTTTTCATTAAAAATGTATAGTTTTACAAAATAATTCTTATATTTAATTGGAAACAAAGGAAACAATATTTAAGTCTTGCACACATAATAAAATGGGGTTTTTGATTTGTTTTTAAAATAATAAAAAATTTTAATTAGCTAATGAACTAGATCATTTTAATAAAAATAAAATAATATATTTTTTATTTTTACATTATAAATATTTTAATTATATAGATCTTGGAGTATATGTTGATTCACAAGGTAAAAAGACAAGAGAACGTGAATTAATGTTTCCAGCAATACCAGTTGCTGTCAGTAAGTTATTCATTTATCATTATCATTAAATAATAGTAAATTTTCTATTAGTATGAATACAAGCAAACTCTTTTTATTAATTAAATAAACTGCTATTGGAAAGTTTTATTTTATTTATTTTTATTTTTTTTTTTAATTTGACATGAAATAAATAATTTTGTAAATTGAGATGTTAAAATATACTTTTTTATACTTATTTTTTGAATTATATAAAATTAATATTTTTTCTAGGTGTTTCTGATGGTTATCTCTGCACTTATAGTGAAACTCATATAGATGTGTTTGAAATAGCTACTGGAGATTGGATCCAAACTATTAGTTTAAAAAAAGCAAAACCTTTATGTCGAACAGGAATTATTGGATTTGTTTTAGCTGCAGATCTTCCTCATATAATTTATCTTCATAATATTCATTTTCATGAAAATTTAATACGGGTTCCAGAACATGGAGGAGGACAACTTCGTGGTCGAACAGCTAAAGCTGTTCTTGCAAGAACAAGGCGTCGATTCTCAATGAGAGAGCCAGATAAAACAAATAAATCGTAAGAAATAATATGTATTTCATGTTATTTTTAATTATTCAATACTGCTAATTTATTGATTTTTATCAACAGTACTACAGATAGACGTTCACGAATTATTTCTGGGCCTACAAATTTCAATCATATTTCCCACATGGGACCTGGACAGGGTATACAGTTACAAAAACTTATAGATATTCCTAAGGTTAGAGTTTTTCATTTTTAATTTATATGTATAATTATGTTTGTTATAAAAAAATTTATTTTAATTTTATGAGAATTAAAATAAGTAGTAGTATCTAAAACTAATTAAGATTTTAGTATATTTAAATGTACTTTATTACCATATTTATCTTGTATATAATGGGATAAAAATGTATATATTGTAGTTATTTTTAAAAAAATTTTATTATTCAAATGGAACAATCAGCATATTATTTATAATATATTATGACCATGTTTGACTTATATCATGTACTTGTACCAAAAAAATTATGGTTAGTTGCAGGGATGATTTTAAAAAGTAAATAATAATTTATTGTTATTTAGTCTTCATATTTTGGTTGTTTTGCATATGAAAGTAATATTGATGCAGAGAAGTGTATAGAAAACCATTCAATCACATTGTTAAAGGTAAAAATGTATCAATAGTACAAAAAAGTATATACAACAAACTATTTGTTTTTTAGTTTTTTTAATAATTGCATGTAAAGTGAGTTTTTTTTTTATTTTTAGTTGTATGAAATACTGAAATGTGAAAAACTCCTGTATATGCAAAATATAATGAATGAAATTCATTTATTATTGCTTCAAGATAAATCCTGAAGCTCATCTTGAATATGATAAATTAATCAACATATTTGAAAATAAGTTTAAAAATTTGAGAAAATTTAATGAAGAAAAATTACTTTAAAATCATGCTATGGTTAAACTTTAACCTTAAGAAAAAATATGAGGGTTAATTATTAAATAAGGCCTCCAGTTTTATATATTTAATTTGAGAAAGATATAATATGCTCAATTTTAAAAAATAGAAAAATTATTTATTTTAGTCATAAATATTTATTTTTAACATAATCATCATTTAGAGTGACACATTTTTTTAAACATTTAATTTGTTTTTGCATTCCATACATAAAAAATCTTTCTAGCTTTTTCTTGATCCATTATCATATAGCAACTTGAACTTGACAGCTTGAAAACATTGATTTTTCAATACCTTTAATTTTGGGAATAATCAGAAGCCTGATAATGCCAGGTTTGGGCAGTAAAGAATGTTCAGAATAACTTGTAAATTCAGATTCTTTAAATAACTCCTACAAGCACACCGGGTTGTATAAACAAAATTACGACTTACTTAAGCCTGTAATCGATGCGAAATCGTAAAATATTAATGCACAAACATTTTCGGTACACCTTCTGTGTTCTTCCTCAGGTTTTCAAACTGGATTTTTTATATTCTGGAACACCGCTATGAAATTTTTCAAAAAACAAATGATGATATTTCAAATGCTCGGTGTCCATTGCGCACGTGTTGTACACGTTGTGTTCCCGGTTGTTCAGAGTCCCATTCAATCTTCTAATCATTATGTAATTTCTCTTGTTATTCATACGATGTAGTAGTCTAGCCTTCCATGTCATGTGTCCCCCCTCCACATCATCCGGTGTTAAATCAATCTTTACGAATCATTATGCAAAACAGCCTGCCTAGCATACGAAAGAGCCATCTCCTCCCGTGTATTAATGCACTCCGATGAAGTGTGTGCCTTAAACATCTCCACCGCCTCTAGCCATTTGAGGTGGTCCATCTGTGTTGTTTTAACTATTAACGTTGCCCCCGCGAAGTCAACCGTAATATCCAGGTCAGAAGCATATACCGACAGTGACATGGTGGCTCTGTTGTGACGTATGTCTGCTTTGTGTTCACACATTCTTACCCCCATCGAGCGTTTCGTAGACCCTATGTAAACTAGATCTCTGTCGAATCTTTCATCCCTAACAGGGATCCGATATATTCCTGGCAATTTTATCAGGTCAGACGGGTCCTTCCCATTACGTAGTATGTCAAACATAGTTGAGCCTCTCTTGTAAGCAATGTAGACATTACGTCTTTTGGCTATAGCTGTGTATACCGATCTCAAGATAGGGTTGAATGTAAGCGAGATCCTTTCCACCTCAATACTGTGGTTGTCTCTTAATGTCATCCTAGAGGTGTTGTGTGACATTAGTGCTCTTTCATGGCGTTCTACGATTCTCGGAACAAGATTGCGGTAGCCATGCATAACAGCGATCTTCTCAATGCATGTTAACTCTTCACTAAGTGCCTCTTGTGTAGATGAATGAGAATATGCTCTTCTAACTAAAGTTTGTACTGATCCGTTTCAGTACAAATTGGCCGCTTTTCAAACTTTTGCTTGTCCCGGAATTCCAGGATAAAAGTAAACTGTTTCCCAGGATCCCGGGACAGAATTAATTATTTTTAAGATATACAAAATATCATGAAATCAAATGATATAGTTATTTTTCATTTTTTAAAGTAATTTAATACATTCTGCAACCTCCAAAATCATATTAATAATGCTGTGTAAGATACATATTAAAAATTACCNAGAGCAATTATTACATATGGATAAACAGGATGGAACGATATAATATTAAATTAAATATTATGAATAAATTAATTCTTCAATCTAAAAACTTAAAATAAACACTATATATAATGGTTTGCATTATATCTGCATAAAAAATTAATAGAGTAAAAAGACTGAAAGACAGTTTACCACAATTACAAAACTAATGTCTCACTAATAAACATGAGAAATTTTTAACAGAAAATTTTATTGCATACTGCTATCAGCTTTTATTATATTATTTTGTTTCAAAAGCTAAACATGGCACAAATTTCATTAATTCAAGATTTAAATAACTTGGATAAACCATTGACTATTATTTGAGTCAATAGTGTGTGCATAGAGAATATAAATATACAGATATCACTCATATAACACGGTAGTTATATTCTGAAAAAGTGCCATGTTATCTAAATCATGCTATACGAAACAAAGGACTAATACAAAACATAGGGTTAGGTTCAAACAGTTAACACAAGTGTACTATTCTTTTTTGTTACTAAAAGAAATATGTTTATGAAAGCAATTAATAATTAACTAACAATCACAATTAAAAGTACTGTATGACGCATTAATATTAATTTTAGTTAAACAAGGCTTTTTTTTTTACAAAGTGGTGTTAATTTCTGATTCAATATCAATATTTCAATTTCAATATTTTTTTGTTGATCTTGATCAGAAATATCAGCAACATCTTCATTTTTTTAAATTTTATCATAACTTTTTATGAATGACAAAATAAAAAGAAAAATATATTATTAATAAAAAATTTGTTCTAAAGGATCATGTTTGTTCAGTCAAGTACTGGGTGATTCCCCCTCCAGAATTTGTGTTTGAATACTGAGATATCACTGTATTTCGTTCGTCATTTTTATGAATGAAGTAATCATTCTTAGATAATTAATATCTACAGTTAAAAAAATTTAGTAACACTTATCTAAAAAGTTTAAATGAACTTTACTAAATACAAAAACTAGTCTATAATAACAAAACACAGTGACAGTCTTAAGGGCTAAAGTCTGAAAGTAATGACGACAACACCCTGATTGATAGTAAAGCTAAGACAAGGGTAAAAAATTGTGCTATCAGTTTTCATTAAAGTAAATGCATTGAAAGGCACAATATAAATTAAAAATTTTACTATTCTAAAATCCATGGGAAAATTTGAGACAACATGCATGCTTACTTGAATAAAAAAAAATTATCGAATAATGGAGTTTGCACTTAAAAATTGTAAAATTTTTTTATAGAGGATTACCAAACCATGTTAGAGTAAAATCAGAAACTACATTGTATGGGGGATATCCCCAATTTTTGAACTGTGTTGGATACCTGTACTTATGATGAAACAGCACAGAATTTAATCAGAAAGTGGAGATACCATTTGTTATTAAAATCAACCAAACAGATACCATTTGTTATTAAAATCACTATTACTCTGTAGTCAACTGAATTTTTTTCTAACCAGTCAAAGCAAGAAATTTAAAAGTTTGAGAAGGATTAATTTTCACATTTAAATTAAAAATTGTTTACAATTGAGATTTGTCAACCAATCATACAAACATAATTTTAAAGTTAAAATTGAAGACCAAATCTGTTGGAAAATAGTCATCATTTATTCACTCTCACTGTTCTGGAATACAGCTTTTGATAATCAACTTTTCTTTGTAATTCAATTTGGTTGCCAACAATTTTTAAAACGTTTACTTTAAAAACAATGAAAAAATATATATTAGACTAAAAACAAACACTTTTTTAAACTTGGCACTGGTAGCAACAGAGATGTCTTCTTTCCTTTCTATCTATGCCATATTGGGAGCTTTTTATCTATTGAAGTAAGCACTGATAAATGTAGATTTTTAGCTGCCCCTTGGTGATGAATATTTGCAAAATATAATAAGTTTAATTTCTAAACATTAAAAGGGTGGGAATCCAAAGAGATCAGTTAGAAATGGTTTAAATTGTTGGTATTGAAATCAAATTTAAAATTTAAATTACAATGAAATTATATTCATTGACAATTTTAATTTCAAACTTTGTTAGTATTGGGCTGTTAAATTATTTAACTTTCATAACTTTTGACAATTCTCAATATCAGTAATATCAAATATCAACAACAATATTAGTCAGTTTTCATTTTTCCAACTTTGTTATTGGAAAATAGTAAACACTATTAGATTGTTTACCCATGGTCTATTTCTACTTTCCTAGCTTTGTTCTAAATAACAGAAGAAAGTATGGTTGTCAGTCAGAAATGAACCCTCAAGATTTTTACATTTTTGGACTCTGAATCTTGAAACATCTAGAAATACAAAAAAAATTTGGGGTTTTTTACTGTGTGTGTGTGGGAGGCAAGATTTTATTTGCTTTCTTTGAAGTTTAATATCTCCTATGCTATTTGTTGAAAATTTCTGAAATTTTGCATGGAGGTTTGTGTATTAGAGGATTGATGCTATTAAAGTTTGATGAATAAAGGTCAACGGGATGGGGAGATAAAGGGCATCGTGTGTCATTTCTCAAGTAGGGTCAGACTTGATGATTTTACTTGTTAGCACTTACAATGTTTTATAAAACCCATCCTTACTCTCAAAATTAAGCTTTTTGTAATTTTATAATTATTGAATTAGATTCTAATTTGAATTTAATTCAAATACTTGTAAATAATGTACAAAACCTAGGTTGTGGTATTACTGAAGTTTCAAACCACCTAGCAGTTTTAATTATTAATTACAATGCCTCATATTATTTTTTTTATATAAAAAAAAACTTTATTGCAATACTAAAGCCTTGTTTCTTTAATATTTTTCAAAAAACAAAAAGTTTATAGCATAGAAATGAAATAGAAATAGAATGCTAAATAGAAATAGCATAATCTATAGTTTTTGATTATGGACATAAATTTATTGTTTTAAAAAATTATTTAACCTGTGCTATATCCAACTGTTTATGGTCTGAAATAATACCTCAAGTCCTTACGCCATCATCACACAAGTGGACAATGCCAACTGTATATATTAGCAAGTAAACTTTCAGCTTATTGATAAATTCAGCAATGTAATTGGTGCTGAAGGTCTTTTAACAACACACATGGAGCAGTATTGCAGTTCCAAAATGGTAGATCTCGGTGAGCTGTTAGAATGTTTTGTGAATTATTTAATTCAAAACATTTTAAAAGTAATTTATTTTTGCTATTTAAGGCTTTATTTAGGAGGTAAAATTAATGATTTAAATTTAATGTATGCAGCTTTTTTCACCAACATAAAGTTGGTGAAAAAAGCTGCATACATTAAATAAAAGCTGCATACATTAGTAGATAATGAAACATTTTAAATATACAAGTTTTATCAAATCTTTTATTTTACTATGAGTATTTTAAAAAAATTGGTACAAACAGAAAATTGATTTATGGTGATCAAAACCTTACAATTTTACTGTTACATCATATAAGAATTTATCTTCACACATCTCCATCATGGAGGCAGCCATCTTGTTACAGTGAAAAAAAACAGCTGAAACAAGTCCTACAGATTTAACCTCAAACCAGTGAGACTGCTGCAAGGATTGCTGTGTGCAATGGTCTAAGAAAATGAATTCAGCAACACTCTTGACAGCATCACTTAGCAACGTTTAGTTTAACAACAACCTGGGGCCATATTCTGGTCACTTATCTCTCGTCTCTTCATTCAAGGATGAATGATGTCAAAACGAGAGATGAAATTCGTTTCTCAGAGACAGTGGTGAATCTGGTCACTTTTAACGATCTCGTCTTTGTTGATGACGTCACAATTCTACTAGGTTGATTATATATGTTTGGGTTATCTGCGCACACAACATGATATAGAATTTTAACCAATAAAATTGTAAAATTTTCGAAAATGCAGAGTACATATAGATCATGTGGCAAGGAAAGCACATATTCAAATAAACCACATAATTTTGACGAAGTTTGTTTTTCATTTTATAATGTTTTACAGATTGTAATGTCAATTTGTCTCTTAACAAATGAAAATTTTAATAACCTAAGTTAGAAAAGTGTGCGTACTTAGATATTTTTCAAAATATTACCATCTAATTTCTCCTTAATTTAACTATCTAAGATTAACATCATATTCAATAGTTCAGTAGGATAATTAAAAAAAATGGAATCAGTGGCATTTCTGAGTAGACACTAGAAAAAAATCAGCATTTTCTCTCAAAATATTCTTTCCTGAGATAGAGAACATTCTCTAATATGATTGTACAGCGTGAGTAGCATCCAGTCATCCATGTTGGATATATCAAGACAAAAGATGAGTCGAAAGACAACTATCCACTCATCTCTGAGAAACGAGAGTGTCTTTGAGAGAAAAAGTTGTCTAGATGATCTCTCAAGATGTAAACAAATGATTAGCCAATCAGCAACCGGCTTGTGAGAGATGAGAGATAAGAGACAATGACCAGAATACGGCCCCTGTTCTTCTACAGTGGGTCATATTGAAAAAAGAGAAACAAATGTGTGTGTATATTTGTTGTAATGTTTTTCAAATTGTTTGAAAAATATTACAACTCATGAAGAAACTTTTGTAATTTAAATTATATTCTATTTACTGATGTAGTCTTCAATGCTTGAAAGGCAAAAGGACTTTTAATTAATTTTTATTTTAATAGTGTATTGTCAGTTTTGGACAACATTGTTTGAATATTATTACTGAAAGTTTAATTGATAGATATTTTGTTTTTGTTTTTATGATTTAAAACTAATGCTAGATAATTACAATTATTTGGAATTAATTGTACATTATTATGAAGATTTATGATTCTTAGACAACCTAGTTTTTATTTATTATCTTTATTCTTCAATATTCATTAGATTTTAATATCGGTATATAGTAATTTTTTATATATATTTATATCTAGTACATTGTGCAGTAATTTATCTAAATATAAATGTGACTTATTAACACAAATAATTCCATTTTTAGGTAATTATGTATGAAATAAATAGGCTTAAAGGCAGACATCAAAAACGTGGTGACATAACTCTTCCAGGAACACCTCAGTGCCTCGATATTATTGGAGACAAACTGTGTGTTGGCTTCCAGTCTTCCTTTTGCATGTATTCTCTCCGTTCTGATACAGCACCAGTCTGTAAGTTACAGAATACTATTTCCTTATTAAACATTGCATATTTCATAATTTCAATATTTCATAGAATTTATATTTTTATAAAATTTATAAAATGCAATTTATGACTAATAAAAAATACTATTATACTTCTCTGGAATATAAATTAGATATAAATTCACATTATCTTTACAATAAAAATATTTATTAATAAGAATAACTGAAAAATCAGAAGATATAAAAGATGAGCTAGCAGAAAAGTATTTGCAAGATTATTTTTATGCAAAATTTTATGCTTGTTTAAAATCTCTTTCCATTTTTTGAAACTAATATTTTCATCATAAGTAGCATTTGCATGTCTTTTCTAAATCTTTCCAAAATTTGGTTTTCTGAAACAAGTTCTTTCTTTGAATAAGAAGGAATTTATATTTCAGAAAGCTTTGAATATTTCTCAAAGTTTAGCTTTTTCCTTCTCTGTCTTGAAAAACACTAGCTAGTTCATCTACAAAATAAACTATGGATTTCACCTTTACCTAAAACATTCACTACTTTCTTTCAAATTTACTGATTTGGCAGTTTCAGATGTAATGCTATTCAAGTGCAAAAATGTAGTTTTTTTTTTTTTTTTTAGAATTAAAAGTTTAAATTTACTTTATTTTTTTTATTCACTTGTTTTTGGAATTTTAATCATCAATTTATACACAATATAATTTAATGTTAAATTTTAAAAAGATTTACACGTACTGAAAAAAAATTGATTTTAATTAATGTTTATACTTAATTTCATTCATTTTTATTATCAAAAATCTGTTAGAACTAAAACAGTATTTTATATATATTTAATTAAAAAATAATTTAAATATTTAATCATATATGTCTTAATATCTCTTTACATTTTCAGGTTTGATTAATTCTGACTGCAGTTCTCTTTCTTATCTTGCACATAATGCAATGGATGCATTAGTATCTGTGGAACTTTCTAATAATGAATATTTACTTGTATTTACTCGTAAGTAATATTATTTATAAATTTATTTACTGATAAAATTGAATAATGTTAGTTGTTAAATTAAATGCCTTAGGCTTCTTAATAATATTTATCATATTTTTATGTGAAAAATCTGCAAAATAAAAAGTTGCAAGAATTCAAATAAACCTTTGAATAATTCACACCAATATCCCACATATCCAAAGTAGCTGTGAAAACATAGAACTTAACTAGTGTAATTTAGAAGTGGTCTTAAACATTCTCCCCCCTTTTTTCTTTTTTTCCATTTTACTTTTATTAGTAATTCATTCAGATGTGATTCTAAAATAATTGAGAAGGAAGATTAAAATTTTTATATTTAAAGTAGATAATATAATGGTTAGATTGTTCCAATGATACTGATTTGAGAGTTGAATGTTTAGCTCCTACTATCTATAGAGAATAACATATGACAAAATTGATTTCTAAGTAGTTTGTAAATTTTAGTTGTACTTGCAAGTATATATCCCCAAAAATGACTTAAACTAACTTTTTATTAGGGTTCACTAGATAGCCAGATCTGGTCTTTTTAATAGAGATTGACACTTATGATTGCTTTGTGTATAATAGAGATCTATAAAATTTTTCAAAACAATGACTTTCAATTTCAATAAAGAAAAAATTGAATACTAGTGGTTATGGGGGCCTGAGTTTTACCTCCGGAATTTTTTATATATATTGATATTTTCAAAAATAGATCGAAGAGATTTATCATATTTAAGAGAACTGAAACTTTATTATTTTTATTTTACTTTAAGGACATCTCTTATTTGGCTGTAGCATGTAGTTTTTATAGTTTCTCAACTTGTGGGAATGATAGAAATTATTGTAGTAATAACAGAAAGTTTTGCAGAAACTATTATATATGAGATGTATAGATTTTATATTTTTACAAGATTAGCAATTGTTGATGATATTAAATATTTTTATACGTAAATAAAGAGTATTTGATTTGTTTGATGGAATGATTTACAGTAAATCTCTTTCCTGTAAATTTTTAAACTATCATAATTTCCTGCATATAACCCAAGGGTTAATTGTATTTTAAAGTCAGTTTGAAAGCAGATGCAGGCTATTCATCCTAGCAATTTTTGTGGGTTATATGAAGGAAATTATAGTACAATCAAACCTATTATTATATTAATAGTTTTTGCAAAGTCTGCATTAATGAAACATAGATTCATAATCCTGTTTCAATGTTAAAAAATTCTATTAATACAAAATATCAGTTAATATATGATATGAGATGCTTCATAGTCCTGTGAATTCAATAACAATTATATTATATTGTTTAATACAAAGCACACTGCTTCTAGCTTTCCTGAAGTCATTCAGGCCAAAGTGGGAACACACAAGCCATATCATGACTCCTTAATATGGTGTTGCTTGTGTGTTGACAATGCTTATGGCATCAATATTATTGTCATCATTGTCAATGTGGGTGTATATTACACTAATAAATGATATTTGCTTCAACTCAAAAAATTATTCTTTTTCATTTTGTCAGCACTTTGTATACTGTGACAATACTAAATGATTAGTTAAGACAGTTGACATGTGCATTGGAAATCAGAAGTTAATAGGATTGGGAGATTTTTCATTAAAAATGTATAGTTTTACAAAATAATTCTTATATTTAATTGGAAACAAAGGAAACAATATTTAAGTCTTGCACACATAATAAAATGGGGTTTTTGATTTGTTTTTAAAATAATAAAAAATTTTAATTAGCTAATGAACTAGATCATTTTAATAAAAATAAAATAATATATTTTTTATTTTTACATTATAAATATTTTAATTATATAGATCTTGGAGTATATGTTGATTCACAAGGTAAAAAGACAAGAGAACGTGAATTAATGTTTCCAGCAATACCAGTTGCTGTCAGTAAGTTATTCATTTATCATTATCATTAAATAATAGTAAATTTTCTATTAGTATGAATACAAGCAAACTCTTTTTATTAATTAAATAAACTGCTATTGGAAAGTTTTATTTTATTTATTTTTATTTTTTTTTTTAATTTGACATGAAATAAATAATTTTGTAAATTGAGATGTTAAAATATACTTTTTTATACTTATTTTTTGAATTATATAAAATTAATATTTTTTCTAGGTGTTTCTGATGGTTATCTCTGCACTTATAGTGAAACTCATATAGATGTGTTTGAAATAGCTACTGGAGATTGGATCCAAACTATTAGTTTAAAAAAAGCAAAACCTTTATGTCGAACAGGAATTATTGGATTTGTTTTAGCTGCAGATCTTCCTCATATAATTTATCTTCATAATATTCATTTTCATGAAAATTTAATACGGGTTCCAGAACATGGAGGAGGACAACTTCGTGGTCGAACAGCTAAAGCTGTTCTTGCAAGAACAAGGCGTCGATTCTCAATGAGAGAGCCAGATAAAACAAATAAATCGTAAGAAATAATATGTATTTCATGTTATTTTTAATTATTCAATACTGCTAATTTATTGATTTTTATCAACAGTACTACAGATAGACGTTCACGAATTATTTCTGGGCCTACAAATTTCAATCATATTTCCCACATGGGACCTGGACAGGGTATACAGTTACAAAAACTTATAGATATTCCTAAGGTTAGAGTTTTTCATTTTTAATTTATATGTATAATTATGTTTGTTATAAAAAAATTTATTTTAATTTTATGAGAATTAAAATAAGTAGTAGTATCTAAAACTAATTAAGATTTTAGTATATTTAAATGTACTTTATTACCATATTTATCTTGTATATAATGGGATAAAAATGTATATATTGTAGTTATTTTTAAAAAAATTTTATTATTCAAATGGAACAATCAGCATATTATTTATAATATATTATGACCATGTTTGACTTATATCATGTACTTGTACCAAAAAAATTATGGTTAGTTGCAGGGATGATTTTAAAAAGTAAATAATAATTTATTGTTATTTAGTCTTCATATTTTGGTTGTTTTGCATATGAAAGTAATATTGATGCAGAGAAGTGTATAGAAAACCATTCAATCACATTGTTAAAGGTAAAAATGTATCAATAGTACAAAAAAGTATATACAACAAACTATTTGTTTTTTAGTTTTTTTAATAATTGCATGTAAAGTGAGTTTTTTTTTTATTTTTAGTTGTATGAAATACTGAAATGTGAAAAACTCCTGTATATGCAAAATATAATGAATGAAATTCATTTATTATTGCTTCAAGATAAATCCTGAAGCTCATCTTGAATATGATAAATTAATCAACATATTTGAAAATAAGTTTAAAAATTTGAGAAAATTTAATGAAGAAAAATTACTTTAAAATCATGCTATGGTTAAACTTTAACCTTAAGAAAAAATATGAGGGTTAATTATTAAATAAGGCCTCCAGTTTTATATATTTAATTTGAGAAAGATATAATATGCTCAATTTTAAAAAATAGAAAAATTATTTATTTTAGTCATAAATATTTATTTTTAACATAATCATCATTTAGAGTGACACATTTTTTTAAACATTTAATTTGTTTTTGCATTCCATACATAAAAAATCTTTCTAGCTTTTTCTTGATCCATTATCATATAGCAACTTGAACTTGACAGCTTGAAAACATTGATTTTTCAATACCTTTAATTTTGGGAATAATCAGAAGCCTGATAATGCCAGGTTTGGGCAGTAAAGAATGTTCAGAATAACTTGTAAATTCAGATTCTTTAAATAACTCCTACAAGCACACCGGGTTGTATAAACAAAATTACGACTTACTTAAGCCTGTAATCGATGCGAAATCGTAAAATATTAATGCACAAACATTTTCGGTACACCTTCTGTGTTCTTCCTCAGGTTTTCAAACTGGATTTTTTATATTCTGGAACACCGCTATGAAATTTTTCAAAAAACAAATGATGATATTTCAAATGCTCGGTGTCCATTGCGCACGTGTTGTACACGTTGTGTTCCCGGTTGTTCAGAGTCCCATTCAATCTTCTAATCATTATGTAATTTCTCTTGTTATTCATACGATGTAGTAGTCTAGCCTTCCATGTCATGTGTCCCCCCTCCACATCATCCGGTGTTAAATCAATCTTTACGAATCATTATGCAAAACAGCCTGCCTAGCATACGAAAGAGCCATCTCCTCCCGTGTATTAATGCACTCCGATGAAGTGTGTGCCTTAAACATCTCCACCGCCTCTAGCCATTTGAGGTGGTCCATCTGTGTTGTTTTAACTATTAACGTTGCCCCCGCGAAGTCAACNATAAAACATAATACAAAATATTATTGTAAATTTTTATAATAAGATTTTAAAAAGCAAAGATGGTCAATACTCCGATCAGTCAATCTGATTCTTATTTTAGTAATGAAAAGTCCTGCTACCAAGAATACTCTTTCTGATTTAATTGATGTTAGTGGAATCATCTTTAATGCATTTAAGAGAAGACAGATGTTATATGTTTTTTTCACTTGTAGCCTGGAAGATTTCAAGTTCATTTACGAGATTGTAGTACTACTTTTGCTTTCTAGTATTCTTGATTTGTCTACCTCGGCTGCTATAATAGCGGCATCACACTTATAGCCCGATAATTCAGCAATTCGTTTGGCTTTAATAATCAGGTTTATGAAGAAAAACTTCAGACTTTGTACTCGTTTGTATCCTTGTCCAATTTGCACAACCTGGCATTACACAGTTATAGAAGCTACCAGGCATGGTTAAAAATTAAGACAGCATAAGCAAAATTATTCCAGATATTACAGGTTCTGACAAGTAAAGAATTTTCAGAGTCCTGCCACAAATAAACTACGTACTGATTATTGATTATTTGTGACATGCCATAATGAGGAAAAATTAAAAAAACTAATAAGTAGGTTTAAAATTAATAAATACAAATGTATTCTGACAATTTATGAATTAATTATACTTTCTATTTGCAAAATTTTCTCAACCTTAACACAAAATAAGAAAAAAGTGAACTTTCAAGAAATGTGCAGGATTTCCTGGGTTAAAAAAACAATCGGGATCACGGGATCTCATTTGAGAAACCCTAACAGAAATGAGTTGTTTTTGAATGTATGCTGAATTTCATGGGAAAAAAAGTACATCAAAAAAAGCTAATATTGTGTTTTTCAAAATAAAATAGTCCAACTCCCTGAAAAAATTTGATACAGTTTATTTTCATAATAAAAATTTTTTAAGATGAGACAATGGTTATAAAGATTGATTAACAGAAAAAAGCAAACAAATGCTAATACAGTCTACATGGGGACAACAACCTCAAAAAGCTAATTGTTCACACAAAAGTGGATGTTGAGAAATCTGATATTTTATATATTATATAACTTACTTACATAGGTTAGATTAAGATAGATTGCTGCCACCCATCATCTTTCAAGTCAAAATTGCACCAAATTGCATTATGTACTAATATTATGTTGCAGCTATTTTCTCCCAAAATTTTGAGACGGAATTAAGTCCCCTTGTAATATTGTTTTCTATATGTAACATGATCATTAAATGAAGTTCAATCAATGAAGAGGTGAGTGAAATGAGTGGATTAAAATTTCAATTTACATACTTCTCCAATCCTAAAATGCATGCAATTTTTTTCCCCTTAATTTGAGGATGAGGTCAGTTCCTTTGCAACATTATTTTCTATATTTGCGTGGACAATAGAATGGGTGAGACAAAGGGGAGTTTGAAATTTCAATTTATGGAATTCTCCACTTACGCTATAATGTTATTTAATATTCTATTACTATACATTCAAAAATTGTTTATATAAAGTACAGAAACTTGATACTTTAATATTGCCAAACAATCTGCTAGATTTTATCAAGCAATTAAAGCTTTTTAATAATCAGGATTAAAACAATTTGATTAGAGGTAGATGATTAAGCTGCCATCTCCTGATAAATTTAATAACTAGAAATAAATTAATTTTTCTCTAATTATTAAATTTATAAGAAATTTTTATCGTTTTAATNGATGCATTAGTATCTGTGGAACTTTCTAATAATGAATATTTACTTGTATTTACTCGTAAGTAATATTATTTATAAATTTATTTACTGATAAAATTGAATAATGTTAGTTGTTAAATTAAATGCCTTAGGCTTCTTAATAATATTTATCATATTTTTATGTGAAAAATCTGCAAAATAAAAAGTTGCAAGAATTCAAATAAACCTTTGAATAATTCACACCAATATCCCACATATCCAAAGTAGCTGTGAAAACATAGAACTTAACTAGTGTAATTTAGAAGTGGTCTTAAACATTCTCCCCCCTTTTTTCTTTTTTTCCATTTTACTTTTATTAGTAATTCATTCAGATGTGATTCTAAAATAATTGAGAAGGAAGATTAAAATTTTTATATTTAAAGTAGATAATATAATGGTTAGATTGTTCCAATGATACTGATTTGAGAGTTGAATGTTTAGCTCCTACTATCTATAGAGAATAACATATGACAAAATTGATTTCTAAGTAGTTTGTAAATTTTAGTTGTACTTGCAAGTATATATCCCCAAAAATGACTTAAACTAACTTTTTATTAGGGTTCACTAGATAGCCAGATCTGGTCTTTTTAATAGAGATTGACACTTATGATTGCTTTGTGTATAATAGAGATCTATAAAATTTTTCAAAACAATGACTTTCAATTTCAATAAAGAAAAAATTGAATACTAGTGGTTATGGGGGCCTGAGTTTTACCTCCGGAATTTTTTATATATATTTATATCTAGTACATTGTGCAGTAATTTATCTAAATATAAATGTGACTTATTAACACAAATAATTCCATTTTTAGGTAATTATGTATGAAATAAATAGGCTTAAAGGCAGACATCAAAAACGTGGTGACATAACTCTTCCAGGAACACCTCAGTGCCTCGATATTATTGGAGACAAACTGTGTGTTGGCTTCCAGTCTTCCTTTTGCATGTATTCTCTCCGTTCTGATACAGCACCAGTCTGTAAGTTACAGAATACTATTTCCTTATTAAACATTGCATATTTCATAATTTCAATATTTCATAGAATTTATATTTTTATAAAATTTATAAAATGCAATTTATGACTAATAAAAAATACTATTATACTTCTCTGGAATATAAATTAGATATAAATTCACATTATCTTTACAATAAAAATATTTATTAATAAGAATAACTGAAAAATCAGAAGATATAAAAGATGAGCTAGCAGAAAAGTATTTGCAAGATTATTTTTATGCAAAATTTTATGCTTGTTTAAAATCTCTTTCCATTTTTTGAAACTAATATTTTCATCATAAGTAGCATTTGCATGTCTTTTCTAAATCTTTCCAAAATTTGGTTTTCTGAAACAAGTTCTTTCTTTGAATAAGAAGGAATTTATATTTCAGAAAGCTTTGAATATTTCTCAAAGTTTAGCTTTTTCCTTCTCTGTCTTGAAAAACACTAGCTAGTTCATCTACAAAATAAACTATGGATTTCACCTTTACCTAAAACATTCACTACTTTCTTTCAAATTTACTGATTTGGCAGTTTCAGATGTAATGCTATTCAAGTGCAAAAATGTAGTTTTTTTTTTTTTTTTTAGAATTAAAAGTTTAAATTTACTTTATTTTTTTTATTCACTTGTTTTTGGAATTTTAATCATCAATTTATACACAATATAATTTAATGTTAAATTTTAAAAAGATTTACACGTACTGAAAAAAAATTGATTTTAATTAATGTTTATACTTAATTTCATTCATTTTTATTATCAAAAATCTGTTAGAACTAAAACAGTATTTTATATATATTTAATTAAAAAATAATTTAAATATTTAATCATATATGTCTTAATATCTCTTTACATTTTCAGGTTTGATTAATTCTGACTGCAGTTCTCTTTCTTATCTTGCACATAATGCAATGGATGCATTAGTATCTGTGGAACTTTCTAATAATGAATATTTACTTGTATTTACTCGTAAGTAATATTATTTATAAATTTATTTACTGATAAAATTGAATAATGTTAGTTGTTAAATTAAATGCCTTAGGCTTCTTAATAATATTTATCATATTTTTATGTGAAAAATCTGCAAAATAAAAAGTTGCAAGAATTCAAATAAACCTTTGAATAATTCACACCAATATCCCACATATCCAAAGTAGCTGTGAAAACATAGAACTTAACTAGTGTAATTTAGAAGTGGTCTTAAACATTCTCCCCCCTTTTTTCTTTTTTTCCATTTTACTTTTATTAGTAATTCATTCAGATGTGATTCTAAAATAATTGAGAAGGAAGATTAAAATTTTTATATTTAAAGTAGATAATATAATGGTTAGATTGTTCCAATGATACTGATTTGAGAGTTGAATGTTTAGCTCCTACTATCTATAGAGAATAACATATGACAAAATTGATTTCTAAGTAGTTTGTAAATTTTAGTTGTACTTGCAAGTATATATCCCCAAAAATGACTTAAACTAACTTTTTATTAGGGTTCACTAGATAGCCAGATCTGGTCTTTTTAATAGAGATTGACACTTATGATTGCTTTGTGTATAATAGAGATCTATAAAATTTTTCAAAACAATGACTTTCAATTTCAATAAAGAAAAAATTGAATACTAGTGGTTATGGGGGCCTGAGTTTTACCTCCGGAATTTTTTATATATATTGATATTTTCAAAAATAGATCGAAGAGATTTATCATATTTAAGAGAACTGAAACTTTATTATTTTTATTTTACTTTAAGGACATCTCTTATTTGGCTGTAGCATGTAGTTTTTATAGTTTCTCAACTTGTGGGAATGATAGAAATTATTGTAGTAATAACAGAAAGTTTTGCAGAAACTATTATATATGAGATGTATAGATTTTATATTTTTACAAGATTAGCAATTGTTGATGATATTAAATATTTTTATACGTAAATAAAGAGTATTTGATTTGTTTGATGGAATGATTTACAGTAAATCTCTTTCCTGTAAATTTTTAAACTATCATAATTTCCTGCATATAACCCAAGGGTTAATTGTATTTTAAAGTCAGTTTGAAAGCAGATGCAGGCTATTCATCCTAGCAATTTTTGTGGGTTATATGAAGGAAATTATAGTACAATCAAACCTATTATTATATTAATAGTTTTTGCAAAGTCTGCATTAATGAAACATAGATTCATAATCCTGTTTCAATGTTAAAAAATTCTATTAATACAAAATATCAGTTAATATATGATATGAGATGCTTCATAGTCCTGTGAATTCAATAACAATTATATTATATTGTTTAATACAAAGCACACTGCTTCTAGCTTTCCTGAAGTCATTCAGGCCAAAGTGGGAACACACAAGCCATATCATGACTCCTTAATATGGTGTTGCTTGTGTGTTGACAATGCTTATGGCATCAATATTATTGTCATCATTGTCAATGTGGGTGTATATTACACTAATAAATGATATTTGCTTCAACTCAAAAAATTATTCTTTTTCATTTTGTCAGCACTTTGTATACTGTGACAATACTAAATGATTAGTTAAGACAGTTGACATGTGCATTGGAAATCAGAAGTTAATAGGATTGGGAGATTTTTCATTAAAAATGTATAGTTTTACAAAATAATTCTTATATTTAATTGGAAACAAAGGAAACAATATTTAAGTCTTGCACACATAATAAAATGGGGTTTTTGATTTGTTTTTAAAATAATAAAAAATTTTAATTAGCTAATGAACTAGATCATTTTAATAAAAATAAAATAATATATTTTTTATTTTTACATTATAAATATTTTAATTATATAGATCTTGGAGTATATGTTGATTCACAAGGTAAAAAGACAAGAGAACGTGAATTAATGTTTCCAGCAATACCAGTTGCTGTCAGTAAGTTATTCATTTATCATTATCATTAAATAATAGTAAATTTTCTATTAGTATGAATACAAGCAAACTCTTTTTATTAATTAAATAAACTGCTATTGGAAAGTTTTATTTTATTTATTTTTATTTTTTTTTTTAATTTGACATGAAATAAATAATTTTGTAAATTGAGATGTTAAAATATACTTTTTTATACTTATTTTTTGAATTATATAAAATTAATATTTTTTCTAGGTGTTTCTGATGGTTATCTCTGCACTTATAGTGAAACTCATATAGATGTGTTTGAAATAGCTACTGGAGATTGGATCCAAACTATTAGTTTAAAAAAAGCAAAACCTTTATGTCGAACAGGAATTATTGGATTTGTTTTAGCTGCAGATCTTCCTCATATAATTTATCTTCATAATATTCATTTTCATGAAAATTTAATACGGGTTCCAGAACATGGAGGAGGACAACTTCGTGGTCGAACAGCTAAAGCTGTTCTTGCAAGAACAAGGCGTCGATTCTCAATGAGAGAGCCAGATAAAACAAATAAATCGTAAGAAATAATATGTATTTCATGTTATTTTTAATTATTCAATACTGCTAATTTATTGATTTTTATCAACAGTACTACAGATAGACGTTCACGAATTATTTCTGGGCCTACAAATTTCAATCATATTTCCCACATGGGACCTGGACAGGGTATACAGTTACAAAAACTTATAGATATTCCTAAGGTTAGAGTTTTTCATTTTTAATTTATATGTATAATTATGTTTGTTATAAAAAAATTTATTTTAATTTTATGAGAATTAAAATAAGTAGTAGTATCTAAAACTAATTAAGATTTTAGTATATTTAAATGTACTTTATTACCATATTTATCTTGTATATAATGGGATAAAAATGTATATATTGTAGTTATTTTTAAAAAAATTTTATTATTCAAATGGAACAATCAGCATATTATTTATAATATATTATGACCATGTTTGACTTATATCATGTACTTGTACCAAAAAAATTATGGTTAGTTGCAGGGATGATTTTAAAAAGTAAATAATAATTTATTGTTATTTAGTCTTCATATTTTGGTTGTTTTGCATATGAAAGTAATATTGATGCAGAGAAGTGTATAGAAAACCATTCAATCACATTGTTAAAGGTAAAAATGTATCAATAGTACAAAAAAGTATATACAACAAACTATTTGTTTTTTAGTTTTTTTAATAATTGCATGTAAAGTGAGTTTTTTTTTTATTTTTAGTTGTATGAAATACTGAAATGTGAAAAACTCCTGTATATGCAAAATATAATGAATGAAATTCATTTATTATTGCTTCAAGATAAATCCTGAAGCTCATCTTGAATATGATAAATTAATCAACATATTTGAAAATAAGTTTAAAAATTTGAGAAAATTTAATGAAGAAAAATTACTTTAAAATCATGCTATGGTTAAACTTTAACCTTAAGAAAAAATATGAGGGTTAATTATTAAATAAGGCCTCCAGTTTTATATATTTAATTTGAGAAAGATATAATATGCTCAATTTTAAAAAATAGAAAAATTATTTATTTTAGTCATAAATATTTATTTTTAACATAATCATCATTTAGAGTGACACATTTTTTTAAACATTTAATTTGTTTTTGCATTCCATACATAAAAAATCTTTCTAGCTTTTTCTTGATCCATTATCATATAGCAACTTGAACTTGACAGCTTGAAAACATTGATTTTTCAATACCTTTAATTTTGGGAATAATCAGAAGCCTGATAATGCCAGGTTTGGGCAGTAAAGAATGTTCAGAATAACTTGTAAATTCAGATTCTTTAAATAACTCCTACAAGCACACCGGGTTGTATAAACAAAATTACGACTTACTTAAGCCTGTAATCGATGCGAAATCGTAAAATATTAATGCACAAACATTTTCGGTACACCTTCTGTGTTCTTCCTCAGGTTTTCAAACTGGATTTTTTATATTCTGGAACACCGCTATGAAATTTTTCAAAAAACAAATGATGATATTTCAAATGCTCGGTGTCCATTGCGCACGTGTTGTACACGTTGTGTTCCCGGTTGTTCAGAGTCCCATTCAATCTTCTAATCATTATGTAATTTCTCTTGTTATTCATACGATGTAGTAGTCTAGCCTTCCATGTCATGTGTCCCCCCTCCACATCATCCGGTGTTAAATCAATCTTTACGAATCATTATGCAAAACAGCCTGCCTAGCATACGAAAGAGCCATCTCCTCCCGTGTATTAATGCACTCCGATGAAGTGTGTGCCTTAAACATCTCCACCGCCTCTAGCCATTTGAGGTGGTCCATCTGTGTTGTTTTAACTATTAACGTTGCCCCCGCGAAGTCAACCGTAATATCCAGGTCAGAAGCATATACCGACAGTGACATGGTGGCTCTGTTGTGACGTATGTCTGCTTTGTGTTCACACATTCTTACCCCCATCGAGCGTTTCGTAGACCCTATGTAAACTAGATCTCTGTCGAATCTTTCATCCCTAACAGGGATCCGATATATTCCNACTCATTATTGTTTTTGTTTCATATCTTATCATCAAGAAGATTGTTTTACTTCCATTCTTATTGAATTCCCACAGCATTCAAGCAGTCAATTAATTTAGGCACTATCTGCCTATTTTTAGAAATTGCTTATTATTATTAATTTTCATTAATTATTTTTTATTCAATTTTTGAATTATTATTTATAGTTTTTAATTATTCCATATAAAACTAATATTGTTTGCATAAAGAATTTATAGAATAAAGAACCGTGATTATTGAGTCTAAGAATTGTTGCTTATCTGAAAGTAAGTGTGGATTATGTGATTTGGCAGATTATATGCTGATTTTACTTGTGAGTTGCAAATATGAACTCATCAAGCAGCTTTTCCTTTGTCTAAAATTACTAAGAATGTCTCTAGAAAACATGAAAAAGCATTTGTGTGCTGCAGACATATTTATTTGTCATTGTATTTATTTATTTATTTTCAAAATTAGTAAATCACATATATAATAGCCTTCTAAACATCTTCAACATATAAAATATATATACCAAAAAATAATTGTAAACATGCAGAACTAAAGAAATAAAGTTCCTATGGAAAGGGGATAAAATACTTGCTGTGCCATAGTCTAGTTTTGAAATAGTGGTCACATACACTATACAAAAGTCTACAAAACATTAGACTTTAAGAACACATGTTACATAGCGAGGAAATTCTTAAATATAGATACATTCACAAACAATATAAAAATAACATTTTTTTTTTTTTTTTTTTGTATGCTTGACTTTGGTCTAGTGTAGTACCAGTATTAGTCACCAATTATCAGCTGAGTAGGACATAATCCACCAACACCACCATAATAATAAATAATAATAATAACAAATGCTAAAATAAATTAGACAAAAAATGTTAAATGGCAATAATAATCAAGTACAGTCGACCCCCCTATAAGATAGAGATACGTTCCATTCTCTAGGAATCCGCTTTCTTACGAATTCTTCCAATCACAACCCGACACGTGTCAAGTTTACGGACTACGGCTGTTTGAAAGATTTTCTTCCATAAAATTAATTGATTCTAGACTAATCCGACTCAACATTTCCAAAATACATATATATTTTTTGGGAATAATCCGTATAAACTACGCTATAAACAAAAAATTGTAGGATTACTTACCGAGTGTCACCATTCGACATTGCCATTGCTCAACATTGTTTTCGTCGCGGAACAGCTCAGCAAAGAGCGGCCGATTTCTAACAACTTATTTTTCTGTGAAAACTTCGTAGAACTTCGGAGACATCATTAATATAAATAATTTTAATCGCCGTTGAATAAGAAATGTTTCTTTCACAAGAAATGTATAAAATTACAGTACTGTATTAGACTTACGGTACCTAATTTACATACTGACAGACGATAGTTAGCGTAAAAATCTCCGTAGCGTGGCGCCACGCTAGACGGCGGAAATTATATATTTAATTATAACAAAGTTACAATAAGTTAATATATAATTATATATACAGTACCTAATTTATATATAATTAATATATAATTATATGTACAGTACCTAATTTATATATAATTTATATAATACTGTCCAGACGATAGAAATCTCTCCGTAGCGTGGCGCTACGGACGGCGGGAAAGTAGTTCGGCTTCCCGATGACGTTTGAGGTGTTTATAGGGAACTTTTACTATTTTTTACGGATACCGGTAGCAATTTTTTCGTAGTTTTATAGGAATCGTAACTATAGGGACCGTAATTATAGGGGGGTCGACTGTATATGGGTTCAAGATCTCTTACTGTAGCTTTATTGTAAGGAACTTACAAATAACAAATGAATTAGCTTCTGAAAAATTCTCTGAGAATTATTTTCAATATATAGAAAAGGGAAATTACCAGTTATTTATCAGTTTTATGTTTTTACTGTGTTTCATTCATACTTTTAAAATCAGTTTGTTATAGCTAAGAGTTTATCATAAGCAAGTTCATTATAAGTGAACATTACTATACATTTAAGCATAACCCCCTGCCAAAAATACTAGATCACCCTTCATACAATTCAGAGTTTAAATGGCTTTCTGGAATAAATTAAAATTTGAAGTATGGGCATCATTGTATGTTATTTGAAATCACCTACAAGAAAATTAGTTAATAAATATTCAAAAGTTAATAACCATCTGTTCATAATTGCCCATTTTCCTGCTGGATCCTGTACTAATCAAAATTAAATAAATTTCTTTTGACTTACAGGTCTGTTCTTCTATTACCAGTATAGTATGTGAGAATTTGTCAGTTACAAACTTTCATATTTGTCACTTGTATTTTTGTTACTTTCTGATGTTGATATATGTACAGAATAAAGTATATCTGATAGTCCATGAATGGAAGATTGGGTTTATGAGCAATTGGCTTAATGGCAGATGAAAATTAGAATATGAAATAGCCTTTCTAATTTTGATGTTGAATTCTTTCACATTTATCAAAGTAGCAGTCTTATTTGAGTTCTTGATTCATGTTATACAAATGGAATTACAAAATGAAGATACTTCAGCTGATTTTTGCTTCATTTTTTCCATTATTCTGCACATCTATAGTAGACTATATGGTGTCCTTATGGCTTGTTTTTCTTACCTTAGTTTCATGTCAAAATATGTGATTCAATCATATATGAACTGATTATTCAGTAATAGCATGAAGTACAGTCTTTTTGCCACGAGGGATTTCTACCTTATGCATTTGTACACCAATTTGCTATGTGGTATTGAGTTTTTCAAACTGAAACACTTGCTACATGAAATTTCATAAAATTGTGTTAATGTTGTGCTAAGATTCAAGAATGGATTTGAAAATTTAGCAAAGAGCAAATATTAAATTTTGCATTAAACTTGGGATATCTTCCATAGAGACCCTTGAAATGTTTGGGGAGGCCTATGGCAACTAGATCATAGGCTGAAGACTGTTTTGAATGTCACTCATGTTTTTAAAAAAGATCAAATGTTGCTTTAGAGCAGGGGTGTCCAACCCGCAGCCCGCGGGCCGCATGCGGCCCAAGGCAAGTTCCAATGCAGCCCAATAAACGTGTAAACAAAACCGACAAAATGTATTAATTTTTTTATTATTTATCTATTTCAACGGCATAAACTCAAAAAAGAAGTTTCGCAAAGCCGTAAACCTTTATTCGTATTTTATTCTTTAGTGCA